GAGGCCAAATGATTCCAGAATGTTTGCCAACTGTTTCCTACCCCTTTAAAAATATAGTAAAATTAGCAAAGCACCAACCAACATTAAAAAAATATTAAAAACAGAAAAAAAGCCAGAGGGGGGAAATACATGCACCCATCATTGGCATAAACATCTTTATTTTTGCCTGTTGCCTTCAGCCTTTGTTACTAGGAGGAATTTTCCAACACTCAGAGCTGCTTTAGGGGTGGAGGGAGAGCAATGAGCAGTCTGTTCTTGGAGGTGTGCAAGCAGGAGCTTGGCTTCAGCAGGAATTTCCCCCTCATAGGTCTTGCTATAAAGAGTCCGTCTGACCCTAAAGGATGGCAAGAATGTCTGAGCATCCTTTGGAGCTCAGGGTAGGAAAAAAATACATGGAAAAAATTTCTTTTAATGTGGAAGTTTGGAATCAGGAAGAAATTGATTCGATCCGTCTCTACTATAGCTGTGAATGCTAAGGTGGCCATTCATCTTTGCTGAGTCTTGGTTCCCTCATTTGTGAAATGGTGGTGGCTGCCTCCCAGGCTTTTTAAAAAAAATTGTTATGCTATTACAGTTGTCCCAAATTTTCCCCCTTTGTCCTCCTCCACCCAGCCCACCCCCACCCCTGACTCCCACTGTCAATACCCACACAGTTGTCCATGTCCATGGGTCATTCATCCATGTTTTTTGACTAGTCCTTTCCCCTTCTTTCCAACATTCCCTCTGTGTCCCCTCTGTTTGCTGCCAGTCTGTTCCATGTTTCCATGTCTCTGGTCCTGTTTTGCTCATTAGTTTATTTTGTTCATTAGAATCCTCTTATAAATGAGATCATATGGTATTTGTCTTTCACCGCCTGGCTTATTTCACTTAGCATAATATTCTTCAGTTCCATTCATGCTGTCACAAAAGGTAGGAGCTCCTTTATTTCTGCTGGGTAGAATTTCATCCTGTAAATGTACCATAGTTTTTTGATCCATTCATTTACTGATGGGCACCTAGGTTGCTTCCAGCACTTGGATATTGTGAATTGTGCTGCTATGAACATTGGGGTGCATAGGTTCTTCTGAATTGGTGTTTCAAGATTCTTAAGGTATAACTCCAGCAGTGGAATTGCTTGGTCAAAGGCAGTTCCGTTTTTATTTTTTGAAGAAGTTCCATGCTGCTTTCCACAGTGACTGCACCAGTCTGCACTCCCACCAACAGTGCAGTAAGATTCCCTTTTCTCCACAACCTTGCCAGCACTTGTTGTTTGTTGATTTATTACTGATAACCATTCTGAGTGGTGTGAGGTGGTATCTTATGGCTTTAATTTGGGTGGCTCTGATGGCTAGTGATGCTGAGCATCTTTTCATACTTCTATGGGCCCTCTGTATGTCTTCCTTAAAGAAATATCTGTTTAGGTCCTTTTTCCATTTTTTTTTATTTTAAACATTTTATTTATTTATTTTTAGAAGAGGGAGGGAGAAAGAGAGGGAGAGAAATATCAATGTGTGGTTGTCTCTCAGGTACCCCCTTCTGGAGGCCTGGCCCACAACCCAGGCATGTGCCCTGACTGGGAATCAAACCGTTCACCCTTTGGTTCACAGGCTGGTGCTTAGCCCACTGAGCCACACCAGCCAGCTTTTCCCATTTTTTATTTGGATTGTTTGTCTTCCTGGAGTGGAGTCATGTGAGTTCTTTATATATTTTGGAGATTAAACCCTTGCCCAATGTATCATTGGCAAATATGTTCTCCTATATGGTCAGTTCCCTTTTCATTTTGATGATGGCTTCTTTAGCCATGCAGAAGATTTTTAATTTGATATATTTCCATTTGTTCATGTTTTCCTTTATTTCCCTTGCTCTAGGAGATAAATCAGCAAAAATATTGCTCCATGGGATACCTGAAATTTTACTGCCTGTGTTTTCCATGAAGACTTTTATGATATCACAACTTATATTTCTTTTATCCACCTTGAGTTTATTTTTGTGTATGATGTAAGTTGGTGGTCAAGTTTCATATTTTTTTTGCATGTATCTGCTCAATTCTACCAACACCATTTGTTGAAGAGACTATTTTTACTCCATTTGATGTTTTTGTCCCCTTTGTCAAATATTAATTGACCATAGAGACTTGGGTTTATTTCTGGGCTCTCTGTTCTGTCCCATTGATCTATGTGTCTGTTCTTATGCCAGTACCAGGCTGTTCTGCTTACAGTGGATTTGTGGTATAGTTTGATATCAGATATTGTGGCCCCTCTAACTTTTTTCTTCTTTCTCAAGAATGCTGAGGTTATTTAGGGTCTTTTTTGGTCCCATGCAAATTTTCTTGAGCATTTGTTCTAGATCAGTGAAATATGCCTTGGTGTTTTAATAAAGATTGCATTGAACATACAGATTGCTATGGGTAGTATGAACATTTTAATGATGTTATTTTGTCCAAACCATGAACATGGTGTATGCTTCCACTTATTTGTGTCTTCCTCAACTTATTTGTTCAGTTCTATTGTTTTCCAAGTATAGGTCTTTTACTTCCTTGGTTAAATTTATTCCTAGGTACTTTATTTTTTTTTATTTCTATAGTAAATGGGATTCCCCTCCCCCCAATTTCTGTTTCTGATAGTTCATTGTTGGTGTACAAAAATGTTATTGATTTCTGAATGTTGATTTTGAATCCCCCTACTTTGCCCCACTCACTTATCAGGTCGAGTAGTTTTTGGTGGAGACTATAGGGCTTTCTATGTCCACTATCATGTTGCCTGCAAACAATGACAATTTTACTTCTTCCTTTTATTTCTTTTTCTTGTCTGATTGCTGTAGCTTGAACATCTAGTACTATATTGAATAGAAGTGGTGAAAGTGGACATTCTTGTCTTCTTCTTGATCTTAGTGGGAAAGCTTTTAGTTTTTGCCCATTGAGAATGATGTTGGCTGTAGGTCTCTCGTATACGGTCTTTATTGTTTAGGTGTGCTCCCTCTATTCCCACTTTGCTGAGTGTTTTTATCATAAATCAGTGCTGGATTTTATCAAATGCTTTTCCAGCATCTATTGATACAATCATGTAATTTTTGTTCTTCATTTTGTTCATGTGATTTATTATGTTTACTGATTTGCAAACACTGGACCATCCTTGCATCCCTGGGATGAATCCCAACTGATCATGGTGTGTGGTCTTTTTAATGTGTTGTTGGACCTAGATTGCCAATTTTTTTTTTGAGGATTTTAGCATCTGTGTTTGTCAGGCATATTGGCCTGTAACTTTCTCTTTGTTGTGTCTTTACATGGTTTTGAATTAGGGTAATATTCGCCTTATAAAAAGAGTTTGGGATTCTCTCCTCTTCTTGAATTTTTTGGAATACTTTGAGAAGAATAGGAGTTAGTTCTTCTTTGAATGTGTGGTAAAATCCATCTGCATCTCAGGCTTGAGACTAAGAGCTAGGTGGGTGTATTGACCGTAGTGTTCGGTCACTGTCAGTTCCTCTCTTGCCCTCCAGTGCAGCCCTCCCCTTGCTTCCTCACTCTGGCTCCACCGCCACCGATCCCCTGTGGAGCACCCTCCCTGGGGTGAGCCATAGCTCTGCTGGGCTTCCAGTCTAATGGAGATGAACTCACTCAGGGCGGGTGTTCCAAGATAAAGGGAACCCCTGAGGACTGGGAGAAGGATATTGTGGGATTCCTTTGGGAAGGGAGACTTGAGCTGTTCTTTGAGGGTTTGATTCACAGTAGGTACAAGGACACTTTAGGCTTTTGGGTCACAATGTGGAGATGGAAATGGTTCTGGCATGTTAGAAAGATGCCAAGGAGGCACTTGGGTGAAGGCGAGGAGCAAGCTTCTGAGAATCAAGGAAAACAGGAGTGAGTGTGTTGGATCAAGACAAGCCTCCCTGCCCTCCTGCTTGCCCAACCATCAAGAACAGTGGGCAGTGGTGGAGGGTGGTGGAGCCTCTGCCTGCTACCTTGGTCCGGAGGGCTGCTCAGAGCCAGCTTAGAGCACCCTCATATGCACACACTGTCCCTGGGGCCAAGTAAGGGCCAAGGCCCAGGATGCATCCCCACTTGTTCTAACCCTCCCACAGCTCCTTAGCACTTGAAAGCACACAGTGGAGCTCAGAGAAACCGGATGGGGTGGGCAGATAGGTAGGTGGACAGGTGATTGCAGGATGGCTGGGATAGGTAGGTAGGTAGATAGGTGGATAGGGAAGGGATTGGTGCTTAACTGAGGGTGAGGACAGGTGAAAGGGTAGATGGAAAGTGGGTATGCAGATGTCCTGAGTGGGTGGATGGCTTGGTGTGGGGCTGGGTGAATGTGAGGGCAGGCGGGTGTGCAGGGTTGGTGGTGGGTGCAGGGGTGGATTGTCAGATGGGTATGTTGGTGGGTTGGGGGCAGGAGGATGGAGGCTTGGTGGGTGCATGTGTGGGGGCTGGGGGCTTGGTGAATTAGAGGAAGTGTCAGCAGGCTGGGAAGTAAGCACGATGGCGGGTGAGCTAGAGTGTGGGTGGGTGAGTGGATGTGTGGCTGTTTGGGGCTGTAGACAGGTGTACGTGGGAAGCAGCATCCATGGTGTGTTAACGGGGTGGTAGCAGGATGGGTGGTGCGATGGTGAGTGGGCCAATGTGTTGGTAGGCAGGAGGTGCATGAGTGGGTTTTAGGGCTGAGTGGGTTGTGGGTAGGAAGTGTGGGAGTGGAGTGGTGGATATATTGGGGGTTGGTAGGTGGATGTTGTGGATATTGACAGGTGTTTCGAGGTGTTGATGGACTGGTAGGTAGATGGGTGGGTAATGGGGGCAGGGGGTGGTGTGGAGAGCTGGTTATGTAGGTGGGAGGAGGGCAAGCTGGTGAGTGGGACATTGGGTGAAGAGTTGGATGTGGGTTGACAGATGGGTGGGTAGGAGTGCTGGAGGGCAGGTGGAAGTTGGGGGTGGATAATGGATGGAGGTGGTGGGCTGGCAGGGCAGTGAGCAGATGGGGTGTGGATGCAGGAAGGCAACTGTCGGCACTGACCACCTTGTCTCTTGGCAGGACACCAGCCACACATGGGAGACTCCTGGCCCCGGAGCTCTGCACACGAGGCACCAGAGCTGAACCGCCAGTGCTGGGTCCTGGGGCACTGGGTGTGACCAAGACCCAGCTTGGCCCTCAGACCTCAGGCCATCGTTAGCACCAGCCCCCCACCACAAGACCACTGGTCTGGCACCCACTGAAACCTGACCTGTGTGCTCTGAACTCAGCCAGCCTGCATGGGAGACACCAGGCCTGCCCCGCCCACCACTGCCTGGGTCTCAGGGCCCCAGCAATGGGGCCAGCGTGGACTGCAGAAACACTCAGAGTTGCACCGAGCAACTTTGGGACAGTGACTTCTAACTCTTGTGACACGCAGAGCCCTGCCGGGTGCAACTGGGATGCCAGGAAAGCCATGGACATCAGCTGTTGGAAGCCTGGGGTTCTCGGGCCAGCTAGGAAGTTCAGGAGGGCATGGGTGGGACTTCCTAAAGGAGGGGCATGGGCACTGGCACCATAGGGGGTCACACAGCAGGCACCAGCAGGGGCTCAATAAATGCTTGTTGAACCTGTTTTCTTGCTGTGCATGGAGGCCATTTGCTCTCTGGGCTGTGGCTGCCCCTTCATGGCTCCATCCTATCAGGTCCCCAAGGAGCCTGGAGGTGAAGCAGCCCTGAGTGTGCTGCGGTCAGGGTCAGACACTGAGCTCTGTGGGATGGGGGAAGCCCAGAGCCGAGCTGGGCTTTCAGGTAGGGTCAGGCTTGCAGGCTGCCTTGGATTCCAGAGGGTGGAAAAGCTGGGGGCATCAGGCAGATGGGAAATGCGGGGTGGGCAAGAGAGAAGCCCTCACACCCAGATCGTAAACCAACCTGACCCCAGTGGGGACCTTTACCCTGTGTCTAGAGACACGTGACATCAAATCCTAGGACTTGGAGGCCTGGGGAAGTAGATTCTTATTACAAAAACAAAGGAACTCAGGGTCACAGAGATAAAGAAACTTGCCCCCAAGATCACAAAATTAGCAAATGGCAGAGATGGGGTTTGAACTAGGATTCCTGACTACAAGAGGCCTCATCTCTTCCCAGAGGATTTCCCCCATAGAACTATCCTCCAAGCAGAGAATGTTCTTCACTCTTCCATAATCCCATCATCCGTCCATCATCCATCCACTCATTCATTCATCCATCCATTCACCATTTATCCATCATCCATCATCTATCCACTCATCATCCATTACCCAACCATCATCATCTATCCATCATCTGTCCATCATCCATCCATTCATTCATCCTTCCATCATCCACCCATCATCCTTTCATCATCCTTCCATCATCCATCCATTTATTCAGCCATCTATCTATCATCCATTCATCCACCAATCACCATCTATCACCATCCATCATCCATTACCTATCCATCATCCATTACCCATCCATCATCCACCTACCAGTTATCATTGTTCCCTGTATCAGACATCCATCCATCATTCTTTCATGCATCACCCATCCGCATTATTCCACCATCCATCTATACATTCATCTAGCCAGTGATACAATTCATTGTGTCCCTACTATGGGCCAAGCACTGTGGTAGGCACTTGAGATAAGATACTGAACCACCCAGAGAGGGCGTCTGTCTTCGCAGAGCTCGCAGATGGGCAGGATAAATAACTAGACAGTTGATTATAGTGCAGTGTGTGAAGTGCTATGGTGCCCAGCTCTGGGCTGGGCAGCTCGGGTTTAGATTCTAGCCCCTTCACTTGAGACCTTGGGCAAATTACCTGACCTCTCTTGTGCCTCATCCCCATGGACACGTGAGGATGATCATTATAACTACCTCTTAAAGCTGTTCTGAGGGTTAAATGAGCCGATGCACGAGACGTGAAGCATTTAGAACAGAGCCTGGCACAGATAAGTGTGTTGTCAGTGTTTGCTGTCACTGCGATGAGGGCCTTCTGGGTCGAGGGCAGAAGTGAGAAGGGGCTCCTTTAGGGAAATGACACTTAAGCCAAGACATAAAGGTCATCTAGATGTCAGGCAGGCAAGAGTGGAGAAGGGAACCTTGTGGAAAATTTAGAACAGTCTAGATGGCAGGTGCGGAGAAAAGGGAGGGCAGCAAGGTGGCGAGAAAGCAGGCGAGGAGGGTGGAGGAGCTCAGCCGAGGTGCCGGAAGCCGCTTTAGGAAGGTTAGCCTTCATTCCGGCCAGCAGCCGTGGGGTGCTTTGGGCAGAGGGTGATGCTTCCCGACTGTGCACCTAGGAAGGCCACCGTGGCTGTGGGCAGAGAAGAGATGGGGAAGGCCAGGCTCCCCTCCTCCTCCCGACCATACTTGAGGGGAGAGAAGAGGGTGTGGCCTTGGGGACAGGACAAAGAGCACAGATGCAGGAGCCGGTCAGGAGGGGCAAATCGACAGGCTTGGGGTGGACTGATGTGGGAGGAAGGGAAAGTCAACTATGTCTCGAGTCTCGGGTGCCTGGGGGACTCCCAGGTGGAGGTGTACGCTCATTCATTCATTTATGGAGTGCTCCCATAATCCATTTTTCATTTGTTCAGTAGTTTGGACCTACTATGTGAGGTGGGAGATGGTCTGGGAGAGAGACTGGGGCCCAGTTACAAAGGCCTCGACCGTCAGGACGAGAGTTCAGGCTCCGGCCCCGGGGCGAGAAGACCCACCGCAGGGACAGGGCTCCTCGGACAGGGGCCTGGCCCTGGTCTCGGAGCTCTTCAATCTCACCCCGAGTTCCTTCCGAAGTCGGCAAGTGGACCACAGAAGTCCAGGACATAATTTTAGTTGGCACATGGGCAAAATTTTAATCTATTTTAATAGTTGTGTTTCTGTAAATGTGTATTAGGAAAAATATGTAATGGGCACACCAGTGCCATGAGTTCACAGTAGGCATTCAAGTAAAAAGACAGAGTCAGCTTAAAGAAAAAATGCTATTAAATAAATAATTGTGCAAGTGTATGTGGTTATGCTATGTGGACAGCTCAAGCAGCGGCCATTCTTACTCCCTGTACGGGCCGGGGTGGGGGAAGGGAAGGAGGCAGGAGGCCCACAGGTCCACTCACACTTCATGTCCCTTTGTCCCCTCCTGAGCACCTGCTGGCCAGGGTATGAGAACTAGCTGTCTTTCAGTCTTCCAAAGTCTGCAGCAAGAAGGCTGCTGGTTAGATAAAAGGAAGCACTTCCAGGCAGGCCGGGTGAGTGATCCCAGTGGGTCCCCGCTGGGAGGGGGGCTTTGTGCAGGGAGTATGTGCCACTGGCTGCCTGAATCTGGGAGGAGGGAGAGTCACCTGATCTGCAGGCAGGAGTGGCCGGGTGAGCACAGACAAGCCTGGGTGGAGATGCGAAGGCTCCCTCCTCCTGCCCTGCAAACGGCTTTTCTGGCTCCTTCCCCTGTGCTGAGCAGACATGTTCTGGCCGCTGGCCTGCATGTGCCTTTCATCCTGACCACCACACGTCGGTCTGACCCATAGCCCAGAGAACTTGTCACATTCTGCCCTGGGCACCCACACCGAGTGACCCTGTAGTTACATGTCCTGGGCTCGAGTGCACGCACCAAGCCGACATTGTGTAAGCTCGAGATAACGCTCTTCAGGTGTACACACACTAACATACTCCTCATGCCTGTGAGCGCCCCGCAGACACACACACCCACTCACGTGCACCTGTGCTGGCCCTGGGCACGTCCGGCCCTGCACCCACACCTGCACTCGCCCGCTGCCCTAAAACGAGGCTCTGGCCTCTCCTTTGCCCCTGTCACCCCCTCTCCTGCCAGATGCGGAGAGCCCCCAGGGCCACAGTCCTTTCCCTGGCTGAGGGCTGATGGGCAGGCCCAGGTGGCAGGCGATCGCTGGGCTGTCGTCCCCTTGGCTGGTGGCTGTGATGAGCAGTCACTCCAGCACCCCCCCACCCCCAGAGCCAGCCCGGCTCCAGTAATGGAAATGTCAGCTTGATTCATGGGCACTTGCCTGCCACAGCCCGGCCGGGGGACGGGCATGCCGGGAGGTGCCTCCCTGGGAAGGGCCACCGCTGCCGGCGTGACGACCCCTTGCTCAGGAGGAGGTGGGGACGAAGAAAAGCATCTGGGCCTGCCAAGTTAATTCTAATGACAAAAATGTCACTTCAGGACATGGGAAGTTCTACATAGGTGACCCCAGGGAAGACCTGCCTTGAACTGGAGTGGTGAGGGCGGGGGTCTCGGAGGAGGGGCGGCCGCAGCAGGGACGGGAGGATGAGAAGGGAGGCGGGAGGGGTGTGGGCGGGAGTCGGAGCTGTGCGGAGGGCGTGGGGTTGAGGAGCACTGAGGCCTGTGCGGCCTCGCGGTGAGGCCGGGACAGACTGGTCGGAGCTGGTGGCACAGGTCTGCGGCCAGGCACTCCTCTGGCTTCGGGGCGGGTGGGACCCTGTGGGTTATAACGAGGAGTGTGGCCTTCACCCCCTGAGAGGCCCCAGGGAGCCATTGAGAAAAGGGCTTTATTTTTCAGTCACAATATTATATTTTGAACCAAAAATACTGAAAAAAAGGAAAGAAATGTATGAACAGAATCTCAAAGAAAAGTGAATGACAGCTCAGCAGACGCAGCATGAGGGCTACAGTGACAGTGGTGACAGGAGGGCTCTCGGGGGTGGACATGTCAGCTCTGCATTTTGGGAAGTTGTCCTGGTCGCCTGTGGAGAGGGCCTGGGGGGTGGGGGGTGGGGGGTGGGGCAGAGGCAGGGCGGGCCCTGGCGGGGGCCGCAGGGGGTTGGGACTGAGAGGGCGGTGACTCTGGGGATGGGGAGGAGAGGCACCGGCAGGGCCTGGAGGTGGGGGAGGGGCTGAGGGGCGTGAGGGCACGGGCGGGGCCCTGCTCGTCCGAGGCTCCTGTCTGGGCTCTGACACTGCGCAGCTGTGACACGGCCACGCGGGGCCTCGGTGGGAGTCAGGGAAAGGTGCCTCCCGGGTGCTCCCGTCTCCAAACCACAAGAGATGCAGCCCGGAGCACACAGCTTGGAGGGCTGAGGCTCAACTCCACTCGCCTCACTCCCAGCTGCGGGGCCGAGAGCACACGGCACCACCGCGCCAGTGGACAGCCAGCCATGGGCCTGAGGACAAACAGCACGCCGAGCGCCATCAGTCATGAGGAAAAACCAATCTGCTCCACGCGGGGGTTGCTGCGCAGAGAGAAGGAGAGCTGGCATGGGACCTCAGCCCTGCCCCCGTGCGGTCCAGCCCCTGCCACCCTCGTAATTGTTTCTTCCGCCACATTTCATCTGGACTGACGCTGTCTGAACCTCTGCCTTAGGGGAGGCTGGTGGCTGAATTGATGTCCAGAGGCCTGGCCATAGCCTGGCAGCTACCGGCACTGGTCAGGACCTGGGGGAGGAGGGGCCGGGACTCCAGAACCGAGGGGGCCTCTACACGAGAGAAGCTCCATGGCAGGAGGCCAGGGTGGCCAGCCTGCGCCCCAGGTTCCCTTCTTCAGACCTCCTGGCCCTCCCTGGGAACTTCCTGGGCCAGGGTGTGGGTGGTGAGCAGGGGTGCAGCAAGGCTGCGTCAGGGAGAGGCAGTGTGGGAAGGAGCGAAGCAACAGGGCAGGGGCGAGTGGGGGGAGAGGAGGGTGGGCAGCAACCTCTGACCAAAGGCTAGTGCCCTTCCCAGACCGAGCCGCCGGGGCTGGGCAGGCGTCCCAGAAGTCGACGTGTGTCGCCTGGGAGGTAGGGACATGTTGCTCTGGGGAGGATCCCGGGCCTGGAGTCCCCTCTCACCCCCGTCACTTACTCTAAAGCCTCAGTGTACACACCTGCAAACTGGGCGTGATCGTGCAGCATGTGGAGTGCATCTTCCCTCCAGGGGCACCTCCGTGAGGCAGGCACTGCCGGCACCCTGCTGGGTAGGGAAGCCAAAGGGAGCACGGGGTGTGGAGTCCCTCACCCAGTTTGCACCGCTAGGAGGTGGTGGAGGCTGGACTTGAACCCAGCTGGCCAGCCCCAGGGCTATCGCTCACCATCACCAGCTTGCTGGGCACAGGGCACCTGCCAAGTAAGGTCTGTGTCCAACACTGACATGCACCCTCAGTGACGAAACCCTCAGAGCGTCAGTGTGGGGGAGGGCTCACTACCAGTGGCTGCTATTCTTTTTGTTGTTACTGCCACAAAATAAGGATGCCAAAGGCTGTCCCTTCGGCAGGGCTTGTGAGTGGAACAGTCGTCCGGGGCTGGGGGCCTGGAAGTGCTGTCATGAATGCCGCACGTCACACGGAGGTCAGGGGCATCCTGCCCAGCCACGCAGACAGCCCCCGGCTCACTGGGGCACATGCCCCGTTGGACAGAGGTCCCACCTGCCTCCTCGAGACCCCTGCCTGGGCCTGGCTGGGTGCCAGAGGCTCAACTGAGTCTCGGGCTCTGGGGGAACCCCCACATGCCCAGGCGGCTGGGGCCTGGCTCCCAGGACGCAGTCCTTCCCACTCTGGGCCGCGCAGCCCTGTCCCCCGCTAGACTTGGAACCAGTGTTATCTGGGGTGCTTGGTGTTTGTTTGCCTGGGTAAGTTGAGCCAACAATTAAAAGTTGGATTTCACATTAAAAATAAATAAAACACCTGAATTTCTGGCTTCTCTTAAGGACACTAAAGACCCGGCGTTGCTGGGCCACTGGCGCTGTGCTGCTGTCGGCCAGGCCCTCCCAGGCCGGCTTCGGTCCCTGAACCACAGGGGCCCAGGCCAAGGGTGCCGGCTGGTGGCCGAGAGACTTATCGTGGCTGAGAAGGGAGGGACACCGCACTCACCTCCCCACCCCGCCCCAGGTCTCCAGGGCTGGCCCAGGTGCACAGCCATGGTGGGAGGCACAAGACCGGCTTTCCAACACCAGGGTGTCCGGGCAGAGCGAGGCCCCTCCGTCTTCTAGGAACTTGGAGAGAAGCAGGGGCAGGAGAGGGCCGCCAGAGGCCCTCACACCTTCCCTCCGTGGGGGCGGGGGACCGACGGAAGGCCTCCCCCTCACCTCGGTGGAGTGACCGGGAGGTGGGTTTCCAAAGGGCCCTCTCGCCCATCGCCAAAGCAATTGCTGGCACTCAAGCTGCAGTGCTGACGCCCCCACCCCTTTCAACGGAACCTTCTTTCCACTCAAAGGCTGCTTTACCCGGGTGCCAAGGCCACCAGGGGGAAGCAGGGAGTGGCAGCCAGGTGGGAGGCCAAGAGTCGGCATCGGGGTGTGGGCCTCCAGCATCCACACACTTGAAGGGAACACCCGGAGCCAAAGACCCAGCGATCTCACTGCCACCTCAGCTCTCTGGTGCTTGTCCTGGGACTTGTGCGTTGACTAATAGCTGTGCATCTTGGGTAAGTTACTCAGCCTCTCTGTGCTTTAGTCTCCCTGTCTATGAAAGGAGGACCATTATAGTGCCTGCCCCATAGGGTTGTTATGTGGGTTACAGGAGTTAGTGCCAGGCACAAAACCATCACTATGAGCATATGGGCTTGTACTGTCTGTTTTTCACCCAGTGCCGGGATCGTCCACAGGTGGGGACGATGAAGGTCAGAGAGCGGACTTCCCCATGTCACTTGGCTGCCGGCCTCCAGTGGCCTCTGACTCAGTTGCTAGAGGTAGCGTGGGCTGCCTTTGATCCCAAACTCAGTGTACCGAAGTATACCCTTAACAATATCTTTTATTGATTTTGCAAGAGAAAAAAATAGAAATTTGTTTTAGATTTAATGCCTGTACAGCCTTTCTTTCCTTCAAATTTCGTGGTCCACACACTTGTTATAAACATCAGCTGAGACTCCGGGAGCGAGCGTGCACGGTGCTTGTGCAGCGCTCTCCGCCAGTCCGACCTGTGCCCGTGTCTGGGGGGATGGACAGCTGGGCTCCCTTTCCAGCCATGGCTCCAGTTTTGGTCCCTGAGAGCTGGCTCAATCAGCCCCCCACGTGCCCTGGCGTCAGCTCTCCCGGGCGTGGAGGCCCCGCCACATCTGGGAGGAGCAGGAAGCTGGGGGCTCTGAGGCTACAGAAACGATAGATCTTCTTAGAGAGAAACAATTCCTTATCTTCACATCGACCCCGCTCCAAATGAGAAGCGCATTTGCATAGCTGCCCGGGGAAGCTGCAAAGCTCATAAAGTATTTGCTGGGCCCTCGGTTGCATAGGAACGTACTTGGAGTACAGTAACGCGGCTGGGCTGGGCGCCAGGAAAACAACGGATTAATATTGAGAACGAGAAATTACCCACCACTGGGAAACCAATTAGGTCCCTGATCCGAGCTTGTTACATAGATGGAAATAGATGTGTTCTGGGCTGCACTCGGCTGGGGGTGCAAGGCACATTTCCAGCTTGCTGGGAAGCTGCTGGAAGAGGGAGGAGAGGGGGGCCTGGGCTGCGAGATCCTCGGTGCCTGACTCCAAGGGCACAGACGGGGACAGGAAGGGAGAGAGCAGCAAGAGAAGGCCCCCTCCAGGCTCCAGGCACACGGCCGGGCATGCAGTGAGGGCCGCCTCTGTCCAGAGTTCCAGAGGAAGGGGCGCAGGCTCTGGGGACTGAGAGCAGGGCTGCGGCACGGGTCCTTGGCCTCCCTGCCTTTCGGCCACAGGGCCTCTAGATGGGCCCCACTGGCCCTCTGGGGGCCGAAGCCGCCCTCCTGCCGGTCCTACCTGGGTCTGGCAGCAGGGACGAGTGCCCGGCATGCCGGGGTGGGCCCAGCTCTGGAGGGGCAGGTGCACCCCCTTTCTGCCCTCTGCAGGGCCCATGCCCTCGGCCAATCCCTCCTCAGCCTCAATAAGAGGGCAGAGATCCCTGCAGAACCGGTTCCTCTGAGGGGATCTGTCCTTTTCAACTGGTCCTCGGTGGGACTGGGGATGAGTGAGGGTGTTGTAGCAGTTCTGGCTAGACATTTGGGGATCCGAGGAAAAGTCCCTCCCTCTCAGGCAGCTCTGCTAGCCTCCAAAGGAGATAGGGATGTGTGTGGGGGATAGGGAGTTGTTGGCACCCCAGCCCGGGCGCACCCCTCGAGTGCTGGTGTTTGAGGCCTGGTCCCCGTGCCCTGCTCAGCCATGCTCCGGGCTGGATGGAGGGCCTCCACAGACCACCCCCCCATCTCGGACCGAGTCAGACCTGGCTCTGGGATCCCAGGGCGCAGGGCTGAGTGGATGCCAGCGCTGTTTTGCTGGAGAGGCAGCAGGCCAGGTGACCTGGGGCTCCCTGCAGGGCAGAACAGAGGGCCACCGCACTCCTCCCACCTACAGCTCCTGTCTTTCCCAGGGCCATCCACCCTTCAAGTCCCTTCCCCCCAGGAGGCTCCCCTCCACACCACAGCTCTCTTCTGGCCCCTGGGTCCTGGCTGGCAGACCCTGAGGACTGAGGGGGGACGTGGGTGCTGAAGGGGCCATTGAAGGAGCCCCAGGCTGGCTGAGGACCAGCTCTCCCTCCTTTGCCGGTCAGCACCGCCATCGTCTTGCTGTGTCCTCACTTATGCAGGTTTTGGGGCGTAAGGCTGTCAATGGAGAGCACAGAGGGATGAGTACCACCTAGCCTCAACCCTGGAGGGCTCCCCACACCCTCAGGCTGAAATCTAGACTGCCCAGGTTTCCATCCGAGGCCCTCGGAGGCCTGGCCCCACCTGCGGCTCCCGGCAGCCTCTGAGCCTGGCACTCCCGCACACTGGCCCCCCCACCCTTCACGGAGCAGACTCTCCCGCACTGCCCTCCGGGCCTCTGCCCACGCTGTTCCCTCTGCCTGGCCCACTGTGTGCACCTTTTAGGATGCAGGCTCGAATACCACCGACTCCGAAAAGCCCTCACCCTGTGGATCCTCCCTGTGGGTCCTCTACTGGTTTGGTGTGGCCCAGAGCAACCCCTTAGATGGTGTGCTCCTGCCCTTGACCGGCTTTCTCTTCTGTGCCGGAGAGGCCTGGCTTCCAGGGGGCAGTGCTGTGCCCCAAGGGGCCTGCTCTCAGTGGTGGTGGGGGGGGCGGGCAGCAAGCCACTCCTCAGCCCCCAGCCAGGCTCCTGGGCAGGGGAGGGGTTTGAGGGTGGGCAGGGCCCGAGAGGGTGTGTGGTGCTGCGGCCCCTTCTCTACGTGCGGCCCAAATGCTGGAGAAGGCGCCCCAAGCAGCGAGCAGAAGCTGACCTGGGTCGACGGCATTCTGCTTCCTTTTCGAGTTGGCAATGATTTGGTTCTCATTCATCATCTGGACGTCCTGGTCTTCCACCTGACTGCTGCAGAGGGAAAAGGCGGGAGATCCGATCAGGCCCCGGCCCAGGGTCCCTGCCGCCTGTTATCGGGTGGGGCTGGGCGCACCTGAGGGCTGCGTGCTTCTCCTGGTGGCTGACGTCCAGGTCCTCCGTGAAGAGGATGGTGTGGTAGGGCACCGTGGGCTCACACGTGGGCAGGATGCCCCCAACCAGGTGGCCCACCATGGCCAGGACCCCGTTATACACGAGCAGGTCGTCCACCAGGAGCTGAACAGACACAGAGGAGGGGCTCTGGGGCAAGCTGGTGGGGCCCTCTCTTCCTTCCTGCTCGTGACCTTGGGCACAGAGGTCACTGCCCCGAGCCCCGCCCACCGTGCACCCGGCCTGCGTTGTGGCCTCAGCTCTTTGCAGCCATTGGGAGGAAGGTGCGCGTCACCAGCCTCGTGTTGCAGACAAGGAGGCCGAGGCTCCTGAGCTGAACTGCCCTTAGCCCGTGAGGCAGAGCTGGGAAGCCCCGGGGGCCCTACTCTCCCCAGCCCAGAGCCACCCCTGCACATAAACTCCCTGAACCAGTTTTTTTTTAGAAGAAAAGGTGAAGGAAAAGCCACTTTGTTTTTTCAGGGTGATGATTCAAATCACTCAGAGGAGGCTGTGGACCCCCAGGTGGAGGGCCAGAGTCCCCGCAGGGCAGGCCGGGCATGTGCGCCTACGGCTGCGACCGAGGGGAGCCGCTCAGACGGCCAGGGCGAGCACTGCGGGGGCCTGAGTCCCGTGGAGCATGATTGTCTGAAAACCCAGCTAATAAGTACTTACGCCAAACTCCTTCACCCCTCGTTGGGGTGTTTTCGCGTAGTTCCACAGTTTGATCATCGACACGGTGGTAGGCAGATCGAAAATCACATAGACCCGGTTCACCTGTCAGAGAGGGGCATGAACTGAAACGGGCACGAACTGAAACAGGCGCGTCTGCGAGCAGGGGTGCCGGGCTGGGAGGGGCACCCGGGGGCGAGCCAGCAGGGCCCCTGCCGTGTGGCCCAGCCTGAGGTGCCCTGGGCCTTTCGTCTCCTCGAAGCCCATCTTGAGTCAGGTCACGTGTGGCTGCGTTTGCAACAAGCCGCTGAGCTGCTCTTGCAGGACCTGCTTTCTTGGGCCTCACGTGGCCCCCCTTTAAATACCACGGGGACAGGGTACACCCTTCCCTTCCCTCCCAGAAAGTCTGGGGCCATGTGGGCCATGGGTCGGGCCTCAACTCCAGAGTGGAGGAGCATTGCTGCAGCTATCTGCACAGCTCTGACCCCCACCTGTCCTTTCCGCAAACCACAAATGACAAGCACAGCAGGCAGGCCCTGAGGGCGCTGCTGGGTAATTTTGGGTACTTGTCTCTGAATCTGTGCTGGGGGAGTGAGGCAGGGGCCATCCACATCAGGGACAGAATCAGCTAGTGGAGTGGGGCCCGGCAGCCTCCCATCCTCCCTCCCCAGCAAAGATTCTCACATGCTAGGGGCTCCTTGCAAGATGCCATAAAGCAACAGCAGCCAGCCCTGGCCACGGGCTGCCAGCACTCCGGCCCCGTTTTGCCCTGGTTCTCGGCCTGTGGCCGTGCTCAGAGGGCCCCGGGGAAAGACGGTGACACAGGCAGTGGGCCACGCTCTGGATGGCAGCAGACAGCACTGGCCTGGGGGCCACAACGCAGCGGTCCCAGGTCCAAGAGCCAACAGATCTGTATCCCACCTTTTGTGTGCTGGGGCTAAGGGGCTGGCCTCCACTCAAGGGAACCTGACGGTTAGGGGGCCAATTTGGGGGAAAACCTCCCTCACAGGAGGACGCTGCCCCTTCCTGTGAGTGTTTTGGAGGAAAATGTACCCACTTATCTTCCTGCCCAATTCCATGCAGTGGAACAGGGCACACTTCCATGGACACACTGATGCCCCAGACACGGCTACATATCGCTGTCCAGGCCTCTGGCCCTGTGGCTGAGAGGCTGGCAGGGCTAGCCCCCACCATCCCATCTCCTGGCTTCTCTCCTCTCTCCCTACCACCATCAAGTAGGTCCTGGCGGGCGAGGCCCATCCCCTTCCTAGGCTCTCCATCAGGTGTTGGAGGAAAAATGTGAGGAGGACCAGATGCAGAGTCTGCAATGGGCAAGGCTGAATCGGTCAGAGAGAGGACCAGGCAGATCTGGTGCCAGAGTGCAGGCACGAGTGGGGTCAAGTGCCCAGTGACATAAGGAGGCAGAAGAGTGAGTAGGGAGAGGATGCAGCCAGCAGGAGGGGACAGAGTGGGCTGCAGAGGGGAGCAGAAGCAGAAAAGTGAACCAGCAAGCGCTGCTCGTGGGGAGCGGTGGGTGTCCGAGCCCGCAGGCCTGCTGCCCGGGGCCCATGGCACAGACAAAGAACTGCTGGCCCAGAAAAGCTGACCCCTTAGGTGTGCTGGCAAACGCCTAAGCCGTCCTGATGGTCCCGCGCATTCTGACTTGTTCCAGATTAACTTGGCCAGGGAGAAAGTTGTGTCATGAAGCCGGGGACAGGAAGTCTCCCAGTCCGCCCCAGGGCAGAGCGCTCCGGAAACCCACCAGGCCAGGCAGGATGGGAGCCAGCCACATGTGCCTGCCGTCACTGGTGTCATTCACTTGGTCGATGAGCTTGTCAGGGGTCCGGACGTCCCCGCACACGCCCTCCAAGGCGTTCACGCTGTCGGGGAAGGCGGCGATGTCTGAGGAGGCTCCTAAGCTGTCATAACTCAGCAGTGTGCTTGGCACCGTGCGCCACCCTCGAGGCCACCAGCCTCCGTCACACTGACTGGGGGCCCAGGGGACACTGGGGCGGGCGGGCGGGCAGAGCAGCTGGTTGCTGCTCTGGGCAGCCTGAGGAGTGACAGCCGAATGAGACGTGTTCTGGGGAAAGTGAGAGCATGGACTGAGGCTGAATGGAGGGTGGGAGGCCAGTTCCAAGGACAGGGGAGACAGCCACACAGAGAGATGCTGAAAAAGGCGGCGTGGAACTCCTAGAGGTGGGAACAAAATGTGTTGCTGCTACTCTGGAGAGTGGAGGGCAAACTCTGCAAAGGGTTTCCTTTGCAAGGGGACAAAGTCACGGCTGCACTCTGCCTCTGCCGAGATGGGGAGGACTGGCGGGGCCTGGCCCAACTACAGGCATCCCGCTGACGGGCGTTAACTCGGGGCCGGAGAACCCGACCCAGCTCTGGCTCTGCCGTTCTGACCCGAGCTCATGGGCAAGTCATGGGACACCTCTGGGCCTGGCTCCTCAGCTATCAGATGCGCACAAAAATCCCTGCATCCCAGAACTGATGGGAAGATCTCAAGGGCCCTGGATGTGAGCTCTCTTGGTGAAACCGCAGAGCCATATACAGCCGAGGAAAATGACCAAACCACCAAGAATCATCTACTCCAGGTGAGGAGCAAGGTGTCTCCAAGGGAAGGCAGAAAATGGGTTCCAGTTGGAACCCAGGGACCCCAAAGAGATGTAAGGCATGCTTTGGGGTTTGACCTGTTCTGGCAGCTCCCTAACTAGCATGTCAGGGTCACAGATCAAGAGTCCAGAGGGGTCACCCTCGCTGCTGTGGCTCAGTGGGTTGAGTGTCAGCCTGCGAATCTAAAGGTCACCTGTTTGATTCCCAGTCAGGGCCATGCCTGGGTTGTGGGCCAGGTCCCCAGTGGGGACACATGAGAGGCAACCACACATTGATGTGTTTCTCTCTCTCTCTTTCTCCCTCCTTTCCCCTCACTCTAAAAAAAGTAAAAACAATGTAAAAAAAAAGAACCCAGAGCGGCCAGGCAGGTCGCATAGAAGAGGCATGGCAGCTCAGAGTCCAGAGCCCGGGCTCGGGAGTCTACCACTCACTGGCCGTGTGGCCACAGGCAAGTTCCTCAACCCTCCGTGTCTCAGCTCCTCTTCTGTGACGTGGGGATGCCGGCAGCACTCAGTCCACAAGATTGTGGTGAGGGAAAGTGAGGCACCACATGGCAAGCCCTGGGCACGAACAAAGGGCTCCGTGGCCCTGAACTCAGGACACACCGAGGCAAACGCGCTGTGACAGCGCGCCCCTGCAGACCTGGTCCGAGCTGTTAGGGTGCCACAGGGCCTGTGGATCCCCGGGGCTGCAGCTGGTGGCCTCGCCCAGTTCCCCAGACCACAGGACCCCTGGTTCTGTGCATCTCTGGAGCCCGGCCCTGTTAGGCGTGGCTGGGGGCTGCTTCGCCCAACCCCAAGGGTCAGCATCTGACTGCAGGCAGAGTCCACTGGCATTTTAATCGCAGGCCCGGTTCCTACAGGGACATCCCCTCTACATTCAGGAGTTCTGCTCCCTCCCCGACCCTCACGCTTCCTGCAGGCGGGGCGGGTCCCCCTGCCTGGAAAGGATACTGTTTTCCGACAGAGGGATTCTCTCTCCCCGCTCGTCGTACAGCTCCAGGCCGGTGAGACCGATGTAATAGGGGTCGCCCCAGCTGGTCAGGAGCCGAAACTGAAAAATGACTGGCACAGGTCGTTAAGGAAAAACGGGCTTGGTTTCCTGAGAACGAAGTGAAACAATGGTGAAGACAGCATAAGATACAATTCTGGGGTTTATACAGATGAATGAAAGCAAAACAATGATTTTTCTCTTAGTAAGACTGAATCCTATCCAAGTATATGTGGCATCAGATTTTCTTTAATTTAAACTGTGTGTGTGTGGTTTTTGCAGGTCCCAGGAGACAGGAGGATGGGATGGGACAGTGCTCTCCAGGGAGCTGGAAGGATGGGACACGTCTGTGTCACATACTCGATGACCAGGCCCCAGCCATCTCACGTGTCAGTGTCCCTGACCCGAAACCAGCAGGAACAGAAAACCTGTGCCCTCCTCCCTGCACTGCAAGTGCGCAGCTGCCATGGGCAGAGGGGCACAGGAGCTTTAATGGCATCGAGAGGGATGGGCCATGGCAGGGTAACCCACCGTCTCGGCACCAGGCATCAAGCCCTTCCTCAGCACGCGCACCCTCGCTCCCAGCATCCCCAGGAGTAGGCGGGGCAGGACACCTGGGAAGTGGCAGGGTGGCTCCCAGGTGACATCGTAGCCAGAGGCAGTCCTTCCAGAACAGGCCAGTGAGAGAGCCAGACTGCCTGAGTTCACTAACCCGGCCCTGCCCCTTCCCGCCATGTGGCTATGGGCAGGTCACTTAGCCTCCCTTTGCCTCAGTCTTCCCAGCTGTGAAATGGGAATGCTGGCAGTACCCACCACTCGGGCCTAAGGCAGCGAGTTTATGCCGGCAGCCCATGGTAGAGATCCGGTAAACCTGGCTACTACTGTCCCTTCTGTCTCCAGCTCCTCCCTGCCTGGTCCCAAGGATAGCCCCCACTCTGGTCCCTGGGTCAGTTCCAGCTTCTCCAGCCCCTCCCGGCTGGAGTCCTTGGTGCTGTCTCCTATAAGCCCCGCCCACTAGGGGACAGGACCTGGAAGTCCTGAACTGCCCCGTCCCAGTGGCACCCAACGTGCTTGAGGACCAGGAGCCCCCCCACCCTCTCCTAGGTTTCCCTGAACGGTGGCCCAGCTGCCTGGGCCGAGGCCTGAAGCCCTGGCCAGCAGCGCAGGCCCAGACCCTGCCTCGGGCTGCGAGGTGCCTACAAGGGCCTCGCCCTTTCCCTGGGCCCCAGGGCCCAGGGTGTGCGGAAGAGGCAGGAGAGGATACAGCCACAGGGCATCACCGGTGCCTCGTAGTCCATGCTCGCCCGCTCCAGGCTTTTTGTGTTGAGCCTAAAAACATACAAAGGAGCACCAGTAAGCAGAAAACAAGTACCAGAATGGACGGTCAGTTACCCCTCAGGCGATGGACTGAAGACCATGGCAGTGTGGCACTTCCAGGGGGCAGTTTGGAGAGACAGCTGCAGCTGCTGCTTGCACGGGGCCCCCACTCAGCTGGGGGGCTCAGTCACGGCCAGCTCAGCACAGGGCCTGACTCACATGGGCCCCCCTGTGCCTCAAAACTACCCTAGTGGGGGTGCTCTCTACCCCCAGGTGTGAACGAGGCAGGTGGGGCAGGGCGAGTGGAGTCAGTGGCTCCGGGCCACACTGCCAGCAGGAGGCAGCGCTGGGGTGTGCTCTGAGGCTCTCCCGTTCCGGGGCTCTCCAAAACGCCCGCTCTCCTGCCCCTTCACGGACAAGGAAAGTCGACGTTGCGCTGATAGCTGAGCGAGACACATGGCGGGCACAGGGCAGCGGGACATGGGCCAGAAGGTGGGGTCTGAGCTAGGGAGGCAACGGCCGTGGGGAGAACCAGAGCCCAGCCTCCCGAGCACAGGAGCAACAGGAACAAAGGCCCTTCAGGTGGAAGGGTGTGGGGGGGGTCCTTTGCCACGGAAAGCAGCCAGAGGGGCTGGAGTGTGGGGTGTCGTGAGGTGGGAGGAGGCAGGAAAAGGAGGCTGGAAGGTGGGGAGCACCCTGAGGGCTCTGGCTTCCTGATCCCGAGCAGTGGCTTCGCTAGCTGGGGCCTCAGTCCCCACATCTGTAAAAAGGGCACAGTGATCCCCACTGGAGTGAATATGAAGCGTCTGGCACACAGCAGGCGCTTTGGAAGGAGAGCTCTCTTCCTCTGCATTCCCCTCCACCGGGCTGCTTTCCTGGGTCTGCAGCCAGGGCCCTCCAGCTCTGGCCTGCTCTCCTCCATTTCAAGGGCAATGTTATAATTAAGTGACTGTTCCCAGTGACCAGCCCAAGGGATCCACTGGGATCCACTGATCCCAGCCACAGTGGAAAGAAACTCATTTTGTTTCAAGAACTTGGCCCCTGGCATTTGGACGTCAGGGGGTTTAAATGAGTGACCTCAACGTGACATTTACAAATTGTTATAAACTTAATGCAGCTGAGAATGGGGCCAAGAAACCCCAGTGAATCCATGAAATGTTGGGCCCTTTTTCTCTTCGAATCTTTTAAATCAGGGACACAGAAACAAGAGGAGGTAGAACCTTCCCTGAACCAGCCCACAGGCATTTCTGGAGTCAGGCAGCCAGGATCCTCTTTTCCCAGCAGGAGGCGAAGGAGGCATTTAAAATCTCCAGCGCTCTGGACGGTGAGAATCCCAAACACCCGGACAAGGTGGGCACATCCCACAGGCTTCCAAGGAGGCTTGGCTGAGCTTTAGAAACAGCCAAGTTGAAAAGCAAAGCCTTTGATCACACCACCTCAAAAACGCTCCAGGCGGACACTTCAGAGCAGGCAGGGGCCCGAGCCGCGGACAGGAAGGGATGTGCACGCGCGTGCCGCTGCCTCACCTCTGGGCCGGCCGGGGCGGCACTCGAGCCTGCAGGTGGTCCACAAAGAGGATTTCCTGAGCGAAATCAAAGTGGCAGTTGCCCGGCCCCTTCCGGATGAGAAAGCCCTCTGGAGGGGAGACGCACAGGCCGTCCAGGGAGACGTGGACGACCTTGGCCTGGCAAACGGAAGAAAACACGCGCCTGAGGGGGGAAGCCGGCGCGGAGGATGGCCGCGTGCGCCCCCGGGCGGACGTGGCTGGCAGCCGGCACGCACAACAGAGCGCCTCCACGGAGCCCCAGCCCGAGCTCCTCTGGCCTTCCTCCCAGACCAGAGCCAGCCGCTCAGGTCCCCTTTCCAGGGCCATCCCCGCTCTGTGCCGGGTGCTGAGCCGGGTGCCGGGCAGACAGCAGAGACGAGGCGGGCGAGGCCCCTGCCACAGCGGACACTCTCCAGTCCACTCAGCCGCGGTGGCCTGAGGCGGTGCAGCATGATGGTCAAGGGCAGGGACACAGGTGCTCCGACATCCATTATTTGTAGTTGTACAAGTTACTTAACCTTCCCAGGCCTCGGTGTCCTTATCTGATGTTAAATGGGCTCAAAAATGAGTCAGCATGCATAACGAGTCCAGAACAGACAGCGTTATGCACACAGCACACGCACCATGCTGGGCCTCCCTCAAGCCCTGGCTCGCACGTGGCCACCAGCCCCTGCGCTGCCGTTCCCTCCGCGGAGCTCAGCTCCTCCCTCGGGGCAGGGGCTTCCTAGCAGTGTCCTCGGCGGCTCGTGGGCCCCCTGTGGTGGCGGAGACCCCGGCTGGACCATCTCTGTCTCTGCGTCAGGGCCTGGCCCACCACTGGTGCTGACTGAGAGCTTGCTGAATGGATGACATTTGAGCCAGCAGGTCCCCCTGTTCTAGGCCGATTTCGCCCGCCAGAGGGCCAGGATCCAGCCGTGAATCTCAAAGCCTTAACGGCAGCGTGTGAGGTGGCCGGGCTCTCAGTGAGCGGGGGGTGGGGAGGGTGTGCTGATGAGCCAGCACCCTCTCTCCAACCACACAGTTTGGAACCAAGGCTCCTTGGCACCTCACCCCACCTTCAGGCTTAGCAATCTGGGCCCATCTGCTGACCAGACAGGTGGACTTCACCTCTGGGAGATGCAGGGGGCTCCTCCATGCAGAGAGGAAGGGGCCTGGCCTGGGTCTCGTGGGTGGCCCCGTGTTCTGGCGCCCTTTGTTCCTTCTGCATCAAGGGAGCCCCCCTGGTGTCGGTCAGTTAGTCCCAGGGCACAGAAACCTGGAAAGCGTAGGGTCACGGCCTTCAGGCGTGGCCAGCGCCGGGCACTCAGATACTGTCATTATATGTCCACTCTGCTTCCCACAAACCTGACTCCTACCCTGAACCCGGGGCTGGACCTGTGGCCCTGGCCTGGCCAGACTGAGAACTCTGACCCCTGGTCACATGGTTGGTTCAGCCGAATGGAACTTGGCCAGAATGACCCGCATGACTCCTGGGTTTGCCCCGCGGGGAAAGCCACCTGAAAACGAAGCTGGCAACAGAACAAAGTAGAAGCCCAGGAAGCCCTGTCCCCCTTCTGGGGCCATCGTCTCCTCCAGGAAGGGTCCTTGACTTCCCCAGGCCACTGTTCACTCCCTCGGGGGCGGGGCGGGGCGGGGTGTTTTATCATCGCCTCCATCTAACAGCCAAGCAAACTGAAGTTCAGGGAGGCTACTAGACTTGCCCAAGGACACTGGAGGGATCCCAAGCCCCATCTCTGTGGGTCTGAGGCTGGCTTTAACCGCAAGCCAAGGGCCCCCAACCAGGGTACCCAGCAGGGCCTTGGGGTGTGGCCATCTGATTCACTGTCTTGGGGGCACAGTTGCCCCACACTGTGCTCCAGGATCTGCCAGCTCCCACGGGCCACCTCCCGCATCCCACAGTGGCCAGTGCTGAGGCCCAGACCCGGGGGGAGGGGGGGCGGGGCCCTGGGCCCAACGTGTCCAAGACATGAATCCAGGTCACAGAGAGTCAACTAGAAAGACGGATTCACTCAAGAGAACTCTCATCCAGAGACAAGAGTTGGAACATGAGGTTTCTCGGGGTTTTCTACGCCCACACATCTGACGTTTTCAGCGTGCTGAGCCTGAGAGAGCGCATGCACATGGAGCGGCCTGCAGAGGGGTGGTAGCTGCTCCGGAGGGAGCGGCCTGGCGGGCAGGGGGCTGCCACCCACTGTGAAAGCTACCACAGTCCTCAAGGCCCCACGGGTCCCGCAGAAGCACTCTGGGGTGCACAGCGCGTGGTGGGGAGCCCAGGCCTGGGCTCTCAGGCCCGAGGCCAACTGCTGGCTCTGTCAGCTTTTGTGGGGCAAAAGGTGACGGCCACCCTCCTGAGGCAGGTATCCCCCGCTCGTCATTTTACAGACGAGGAAACTGAGGGGCAGAGAAAGCAGGCCACTCGCCAAAGGTCACTTGGCTGGCAAGGACGGGGTGCAGATTCAGACGCAGGGCCCCGTGGCTTCAGCGCCCCGACTGCACTGCCGTGTTTTAGGGGGCCTCACTATCCTCTCCTCTGTGCACTGGGGGGAGAGCAATGTTTCATGGGTCTTAGATGCCCCGGCCACAAAAGCCCATGAAAAGGGGCACTTCTGCTGCTTTTTCCAGGTTCCAACAGAAGCTGCTGCTCCTTCCGACCCAGCAGCAGAAACACAGTGTGGGACACAGAGCTCCACGCCCAGCAAGCTCGATCTGGGGCTCCAGCTCTGACCCTGGGGGGTGACTGGGCCTCTGTGGACCTCACCTTCTCATCCTCTGAAAGATGAGGGTAATGACATCTGCCTCCCAGAGGCTGGACGATGGTCCAATCACATGACGAGTTCCCGAGAAGCTCTCGGCCCAGGGCCGGGCCCCCCGAAGCACTCAGGGGGCCACAGGGCAGCAACCACGAGTTGAGGGCCGGGCCGAGGCCCCCAGAACCCCCAGCAGAGATGAGTGCTGCAGGTTCCCCAGTCTGCCTGGCTCTCCGGCCTGTGTCTGCTGTTTGCAGGAGGAGACAGCAGTGCTCTCCCCCTTGGCTGTAGACCCCAGCGCCACGTGGACAGTTCTGGAGGATTTATGCTCCTCTCTGGCAGCCACACCAGCCATTCATCAAGGGCCCCTTCCCTTGACAGTGGGCTGAGCGTGGCCACTGTGTCCCCCCCTTACCCCTCGATAGGTGTCCTCAGGGGATTTATTGTAGTTCCAGAAGCGCAGGCCCGCGATGCTTTCAGCTCTGTCGAAGCGGATCGTGACCACGTGGTCCAGCCCCGGCGAGAAGGGGATCAGCCACATGTGCTCATCCTCCGTGGTGATGTTGGCCCCGTCGATCAACCTGCACACAGCGGGGAGGGAGCGGTGAGGGGCGTCCGGTCCGCCGGGGGAGGGCTCGGCACCCACTCATCTCCACTGCGGCCCCTGCCCAGCAGGCGCTGGACTGTGCAGGGGTGGGGGGGGGGGTCGAGGGAGGTGAGACTAACGACAGCAGCAGCGCGGGGCCAGCTTTGAAGTGAGACAAACGCAAACGGGAAGAAAAGGAACAGTCTAGGCTGTCTGAGGTGCAATGAGGCAATCCTCTGCATTTCTGTTCTGGTTTTGAAGGGGGGAGGTGTGTCATTTATCAGGACCCTGGAGCCCAGGGTTTCTAGAAACTTTCCCTTGAGGAGAATCCAGTCAACATGTTGGAAAGGCTAACTGCACCAAGATACTCATTACAGTCTTGCTGTTTATATCAGAAAAAAGGATGACCCAAGAGGTCTCCAAGCAGGGAGGGGTTCGGTCGGCCTGCACAGGTGTCACGGTGCCGCCACGAGGATGCGCAGCGACACGGGAAAGGCAGGCCCCGGGGTGGCAGGCACCCTCATCTCAGCGCTGTCAAGTGAGGACAAGGACCAGGGCAGATTCTGCAAAAGCAAAAATTATAGTGTGTCAGAGGGGATGGGGGCGGACATCTTCTCTATTTTCCAGACTTCCTGTAAAATGCTGTATTGACTCTATTGGTGCATTTTGAAAGAATCCCATCCCTTCGTTGTTGTGCTGGGGGAGAGACTCCAAAGCAGCGGAGTGAACGTGGCCCCTCCTGCAGTGGAGCAGTACCAGGGGGGCTTGGAGCACTGGAGGCACACAGCTTGGGTATCTCAGGGAGTGGCGACGTGAGCAGGGGTCCCCGGCACCCTCGGGTGCTTCTAGCCACGTTTCCGAACTTGGCATCTTGCTCGTGTTACACTTCCATCTCGGCCAGGCTCTGTTTCTGCCGCTCAGGACGCCCTGCCCCTCCTCCTCTACTCTCCCACACGTGTCCCCCAGGCGGCTGCTGCTGACTCCCCTGGACCACCTGGCACACCTCGGCCCACACCCCAGCCCTCATGCTGTGGCTCCAGCCCATGCGTCTGGCATCGCCACCGACACACCTGGGGACAGGGCCTCGCTCTGGCCTCCTGGGCAGTGCCCCCCCCACTCTCCCGACGACCCGAAGCTGCTACACTGCGAGAGACTCGGGCTGCTGCCATGTTTCCTGTATTTTAAAATGATTTTATTTTTTCTTTTACATTTTAAATTTTTAGATTTGGAATAAATCTTACAATCTAACTGTTCATCCAAGGAGGTAACGTTTCTTTTTATTTTCTCTAAAAGGCTGTTATTAAATTGATGGATGATGTGTCTCACAGTTGCTGGCATCTGAAAACTGAGGAAACTCAGCAATTTAACACTCGGGTGTTTGTGGAATTAGCTGACTGAGGACTACTCCTAGAGAGCCATCTATTTCCTTCCAAAAGCAATTACCTCTCTTTCCCAGCACTGCGGCTGCCTCCATGGCAAAACTGCTCCCCAGTCCAGAGAGGAGAGAGAACTGCTGAAGTGTTTATAGCTGATGGGTGAAGGGAGGCCCCTCGAGAATATCCAAATGATACTTCTTAGCTTGGTCCATGAACACGCCTTGAAACTATGACCAACCAACAACAACAAGCATCCCTAGTGGCTAGATTATGGTGTCTAAACACCATTTCCCACCAGAACCAACCAGGGCTTCATGGAGAAATGGCTCAGTTTACATCTGGGACAATTTTTAAAAAAGAATATATAAAATGAGCCCAGAATATCTTGCCATGCCGGAGAGCTGGGGAGCTGTCGGAGACTGCTCTGTCAGGATTCCCAGGGTCTAGGAGCACCAGTAGGATAAAAAGTACAATAGATTTGAACCTTCAAACACAGCACACTCAAGTCCATGACTATGCTTGTCAGAAATAACCAAGCATTTTAAAGGATGCTAGAGGAACAATGTGTTATTCTGAAAATAGAAAAATAAAGGGAAGAAATCAAGTTTTATGTATGTATGTATGTATGTATGTATGTATGTATTTAATAAAGGAGTTGGGTTTATTACAGGGTTATATAGTCCAGCTAACTCCTTTTTATTTATTTTATTTATTTATTATTCTCACCTGAGGACATGCTTATTGATTTGAGAGAGTGGGGACGGGAGGAAGAGACAGAGGGAGAGAAACGCCCACTGGCTGCCTCTCGCGCGCACCCACCCCGACGGGGGCCCAGGCCCGCAGCCCAGGCCCGCGCGCGCTGACCGGGAACCAAACCCGCAGACCTTCAGCCTACGGGACGATGTTCCGGCCGACTGAGCCCCACTGGCCAGGGCACAAAATCAAGCACTAAGATGGCCTTTCCTATTGAAATTACACCTCAGAGTAACCAAAGAGCTGGAGGAAAACTCTGTATTGATGGAAAGAGAATGACAGGACAGTGCGCTGCAGGTTTGCGGCCCCTAATAGAGCAGTGGGTCGGCTGCTGAGCTCTGGTCGCCAGCATCACACAAGGCCTGGTGGCCCCTGGAGGAAACAAACAGTAACACCCATGCCCCGGTGGTCCTGCGTTGCCCCTACAATCCAACCTCGATCTGGTCAGGCCTCAAGGTCCAAGGAACAATTTATAAGAAATACAGGGTCCCAAGAAGCGGGTTAAACAATACCATTGAGATGAAACCAGTAAAATCCAGATTCTACAGGGGAAAAAAAGTACTTTCTTCAAAAGATAATTTATTAGAAAAAAAATGAGAAAAAGACATATCAGCCAATCACAATGTATGGACCTTATCTGGGTCCCAAGTCAAGAAACAAACCATTAAGATCATTCTCAGGAAAACAGGAACATGCTGGATATCTAGTAATTAAAGGAATGATAGTTAATTTTTTAGGTATAATAATAGTGCTGAGATTATGTTTTCTTCTTCAAGTCCTTACTGTTTAGAGATACATCCTGAAATACTTAGAGAAAAAACCCTGTCAGTCCCAGGATCTGCTGCCATACAATCGGGGTGGAGGGCGGTAAGCGGGTGGGCGTGGATGGATGGGCAGGGGTGCGGCTGGGCACTGGGCCCGCAGGCTCCACGCCTACGTGTGCGGAGGGAGACCTGCCGAAACGCAGAGCAGCGGGGCCCCGGGCGGGCCATGAAGGCAGGACATGAGGCTCACGGTTCAGGGGTGCCCCATAGGAGCAGGGATGGGTCTAGAACTGACCCCACGCACACCCTGAGCCAGGCAGGGTGCAGCTGAGGTACGGCGATCCCCTCCCACCCTCCAGCCACGGGACCTGCTGTCCCCATTCTACTGACGAGGGGAAGACAGTGCAACTCAGTGGTGAGGTGCACGGTGCTGTTCTCCCGTGACATACGTTCTAATCACGGCTCTGCTGCCAGCTAGTCTGGGTGACCATCAGCCAGTTTTTAACCTCTGTCTACCTTGGTTTACATGGGCGCCCATCAATCATTTTATTATATGGACGAATATCTGTAGCCTGCTTAGCATGGTCCAGCATGTGGATTTAACAATTGCTCAAATAAATGGCAACTCTAGTTTCAGTTACTATTATTATTGAAGAGGTTAAGAAACTTCCTAGCGGTCAAGGGGCAGAGCCAGAACTTGAACTCGCATCCCTTGACTCCCCCAGACCCCTCTTACCCACATGCGCAGACAGGGCCAGGCGGGACGGCCACCCCGAGGGGCGGAGCTGCTCCACGCCACGTTTCAGGCTTGTCCTCTTACTGACTTGGCCCAACCTGGGTTTATGGAATCTGACAGATGCAGAGGACACTGTGGAGACTTCCTAGCAATCACCTTCAATCCTGAGGAGGAGGAAGCCTTCTGTCCTTGAGAGGCGAGGCCACTCGTGTTTAAACTCAGAGCCATCCCTGCAAATGATCACTGAGTGGCCCCTGTGCTCAGGGCCCGAAGCCAAGCACGGCGAGCACACACAGCACAACTCCGCCTGGAAGCAGGAGCACCTGGCCTCAAACCCTGCCTACCACTTCCAGCTGCGAGGTCTCGGCAGGGTCACCTCCCTTTCTGAGCCTCGGCTTCCCTTGGCTGTAAAATGGGGTGCACAGACCTCACGGGGTGGTCGGGAGTAGGTGGAACAGGGCTTGCTATTTGATGTTTGACCCTGACGTCTGAGGCACAGAACAGTTCCCCGAGCCCCTGCTGTCATGAGAGTCAAGTTTCCACAGACACCTACTTGTCCAGGGTCCGGGAGTCATCCGTGTACTCAGGGAGGTCATTCAAGTCTCTGGGGCAAGAGGAGATCTGGTGCAGGCTGACGGGCAGTGCCTGGCCGTCCTTGCCCACCACTTCCAGGCCTGTGAGTCCCAGGTAGTGCAGGTCCCCCCAGGAGGCAGTGAAGTTCAGCTGAAGGCCTGCAACAGGGAGAAAAGTGGCCCATGAGCACCTGAGGGTCCGCAGGAGGTACCTGAGATGGGGACGAGAAGAGGCATGATCTTCAGCGTCTGCATTCAGCCAGCTTGAAGACCCAGACACAGACGAATGCCCTCAGGCCGGGCTCTGCACCTTTCCTCCAGCAGCCCTCGGGCCTGGGGCACAGCTGATGTTCGGGAAATGTTCACAGGATGAACGCCCCAGTGTGGTCTAAACCTGCACGCAGCCCTGGATCCTGTCTCCACCTATGGATCATGTCACCCACTTGATGTTTAACACCCAAAGGTGGGTCCCCATGATGCTTGGCCAACAGGCCTTGCCTGTCTGGCTTCTGTCTCTCTAACCTCATCTTGCACCAGGGTTTCCTGGCTCCACTGAGACCATCATTCAGTCGCTCATTTACATTCCTCCCTGCTGACACATGGCCTGCTGACCTTGTGCTCATCGTTCAGAGCCCAGTGCACTTCCTCAGGGAAGCCCTCCCAACTTCTTTGACTACATCAAACCTCCACTCATAGTTTGCTGTCTCGCTGAACTTGCCCTCCCATGCCCTGGTCACCACTATTATCTTGCAATCATTTGGTTAAAAATGCCAGATGGTTAACTCCCCAAAGCCCACCACAGTGCCTGGCACATAGTAGGAGCTCAGCATGGACAGGATGATTAAACAAATAACTAAAGGGAGGCAGCTATATCATTAAGCTGCAATACTAGAAAGGGATATTTTATGCAAATTGCCTACTTTTATGAGGAGTCCCATGGATTCGTGGTAGAGGAAGTGACTGAGGTAACGCCTCCACCCTTCCCCCGCCCCCCGCCTCTGCTCCACCAAAGATCACTTAGAAGTGGTCTGCTGTGGGTGGGGGGCAGAATGGGCCCACCAAGGTCTCCACTTGCCCAGAATGCCCAAACCAAGTGAACCAAACCCCTTGGTTAGACTCTGTCAGAAACCTGGCTAGAACTTTTCTTAACTAATGGTCTCCTATTAGAGCAAGACCAAGCCCAATGAGCTCTTCTGCCCTCGGGGAACTCGGAGCCCACCTCAGCTCCCTTTTGAGTGGCTGTGTTCAAAAGATCCATGCTCTCTGCACATTCCCCAGGGGGCCGGCACTGTAGTGCTGGAAGGAACAACACCACTAGCACGTGGTCCCACCCATCTCAGCTCAGCTGAGGTGGGGGAGGCCCAGCGAGGTCTCCAGACGTCCTTGTGAGGGCAAGTGAGGCCAGGCCACACCACCTCCCTGGAGCTTGGCTTCCTGTCCTGTGCACCTGTCATTTCCATCATACGTCATGCGGCTCAGCCTCAGACCCTCCTGCTTGCCATGGGCCAAGGTAACTCTGAGCATCTCGGGGTCAGAAGAAAAAAGACATGTGACCAGCATGGTACCGGGCACATGATGGCTTCTCACTGCATTGGTAACAGGCAAAGTGGCCAAAAATTCTTCCAGCCTTGTCCCTGTCTCTTTACAATGTGACTTTGCCACTGTCCCATGCAGAAGTAAAGTCTATTCCTCCCTTCCTTGAATCTGGACCATGTGATTTGTTTTGGTCATGGGACAGAAGCAAAGATACTGCAAGCAGAGGCTACAAGTGTGCATGCACTGGGACTTGTCTTCTCTCCTCACACTTGCAGCCTTGCCACAGGAAGGAGACAGGGGAGCCCTGTGGCCCCATCACTCTGGCCAACAGATTCCCAACTGCCAGACATGAAGGCATCCTAGATCAGTCAGCTGCCACCTTACCTGCCAACTGACCAGACCATGAGCAGGCCCAGCAGATGCCAGCAACCCAGCTCAGATGAGAACTGCCCAGCCAAACCATTGAATTATGAGCTAATCACGAATGGTGGCTGTGTTAAGCCACTAAAGTGTGGGTTGGTTTGTTCAGCAAAAGCTAATTGATACACTGTTCATCATGAATCTGTGCTCAAATGTCATCTCCGGGAGACTTCCAGTCAAGATGGCAGCATAGGCAAACACAGCGTGCCTCCTTGTACAACCACATCAAAATTACAACTAAACTATAGAACAACCATCACCCAGAACTATCAGAAATCGAGTTGAATTGAAGTCTGACAACTACAGAAGTAAAGAAACCACATCCATCTAGACTGGTAGGAGGGGTGGAGATTAAACAGGCTGGTGGATAAAAATTCATGAGGGATATCTCAGGAGCGAGGAGTCCCAGCCCCAAACCAAGAGCCCCAGCCCAGGGTTCCTGTGCCAAGAGGATAAGTCCCCATACTCCTGGCTGCAAAAACCAGCAGGGACTTAGTTGGCAGAAGAAACTTCTGGAGTCCCAAGCAGTTCTTCCTAAAGAACCCACAGACGGACTCACTTAGAGTCACTCCCTCTGGGCTCCAGCATCAGGGTAGCAGCTTGAGAGACACCAGGGGCATAAGGGGGGAACTGAAGTGTCTGGCATCAATGTGAGAGCAGGGGGACAGCTTTCTTCCAGAAAAAAAGAAGGGCAGAGGCCATTGTCCCCTTTCTGAACCCTCCCCCAACAGAGCCACATAGCTGGCGGGTGGGTGCCATATCTGAGGCTCCATCAACCTGGCTAATACTATTTGAGCTATCCTGCAGATTGCCTGAGACTCCGTCCCACCCAACTTACTGGCTCACCCAAACTGGTAACAGTGACTTTCCCAAGTGCATGGCTGGTATTGGCTCATGTTTCATAACTTCCTAAATCCTCTCAAACAAGGAACAGGCAGCCTCAGTGAGGTCCTAGCCCCTGTACCTCTTGCTATGTGGCTGCATGCCCAGCACTAGGAGCCGCCAGCCTAGATTCACAACTTGGCTTCATCTGGGAACATCCAAAACCAGCACAAGTACCACTCATCTCAGACTGCTTTATAGATAAGGCACGGTGGCCCTGGGCAGAACAAAGGTGGGGGCTGACCTTGACCTGCACCACCCAGGAAACCCCAGGGCCAGTGCACCCAGTGGACAGCTACAGATCATACCAGAGCACCACCACTCTGTCCCCTGCACAGCTAATCCTCCACGGAGGGCAGAGGTTGGTGGCCAGTGGTCACAGCCAGTCCATGCAGCTAACTAGTCTCAGTAAATCCCTCCCATTGATCTGCAAATGGCAACCACAGCTGAACTACAAGAGGAGGGTGTACTCAGCCCACACAAAGAGTACACCTCGAGTACCCAGCTTGAGTGATAGGGGAGGGTATGCCCCTGAACCCTGCAGGACATATACTACATTAGGCCACACTACCAAGACACAAAGTCAAAGCAGTTCCACCTAATACATAAAAACAAATCCAGGGAAGCTGCCAAAATAAGGAGAAAAAGAAACATGGCCCAAATGAAACACAGATCAGAACTCCAGAAAACGAGCTAAATGAAATGGAGATAAGCAATCTATCAGATGCAGAGTTCAAAACAATGGTTATAAGGATGCTCAAGGAACTTAGTGAGGACCTCAGCAGTATAAAAAAGATCCAGTCAGAAACAAAGGATATGCTAATTGAAATAAAGAACAATTTACAGTGAAAAAACAGTAAAGTGGATGAAGCCAAGAATCAAATCAATGATTTGGAACATAAGGAAGCAAATACCAATCAGAACAAGAAGAAAAAGGAATAAAAAAAATGAAGATAGCATAAATAGCCTATGGGACAACTTCAAGCATTTCAACACTTGCATCATAAGGTACCAGAGGGAGAAGAGAAAGAGCAAGAAATTGGAAACCTATTCGAAAAAACAATGTAAGAAAACTTCCTTATTTTGGTGAAGGAAATAGTCTAGGAAACACAGAGAGTCCCAAACAAGATGGATGCAAAGAGGCCCACTGCAAAACACATCATAATTAAAATGCCAAAGGTTAAAGATAAAGAGAGAATCTTAAAAGCAGCAAGAGAAAAGCAGTTAGTTACCTACAGGGGAGTTCCCATGACACTGTCAGTTGATTTCTCAAAAGAAACTTTGCAGGCTAGAAGGGTTTGGCAAGAAATATTCCAAGTCATGAAAAGCAGGAACCTACAGCAAAGATTGCTGTATTTGGCAAAGCTGTCATTTAGAATTGAAGGGCAGATAAAGAAATTTCCAGACAAGAGAAAACTGAAGGAGTTCATCATCACCAAACCATATTTATATGAAAGGTTAATGGTACTTATTTAACAAAAAGATCAAAACTATGAACAATAAAATAGCAAATATGCATCTATGAACCATTGAATCTAAATAACAAACTAAGCAAACAAGAAGAATAGAGACAGAATCATGGATACAGACAGCATTTTGATGGTTGCCAGAGGAGAGGGGTATATGGGGGAATGGGTGATGGGTGAAGAGGTGAGGGATTAAGTACAAATAGGTAGTCACAGAATAGCCATGGGGGCGTAAAATACAGTTTAGGAAATGGAGTAGCCAAAGAACTTATACACATGACCCGTGGACATGAACAATGGTGTGGGGATGGCCTGAGGGAGTGGAGGTACTGGGGGGAAGGGGGCAAAGGAGGGAAAATTGGGACAACTCTAATAGCATAATCAATAAAACATAATTACAAAAATAAAAAACCAAATGTCATCTCCTCCGAGAGGCCTTCCCTACCCACCTGAGCTCAAATAGCACCATGCCCCACCACTCTCTAAACCCTGCTTTATTTTTGTCACTGTACTTATTCCCACCTGAGAATATATTCTGTATTTACTTTTTTGTCTTTATCAGTCTTCCCTGCTAGGATGGAAGCTCCCTGTGGGCAGAAAGTCTGTCCACTTTGTTCACTATTGTATCCCCAGAGCCTAGAAAAGCATCTGAAAAATAGATAGTCGATAAAGATTTTTTCTTTTGAAACACACAGCAAAGACTCTCTGGGAGGTTCTACTGCAGCACAGACACACAGTGAACACCTAACAAACCAGTAAATGTGGCCATTCCCCAGAGCGATGGGTACCATGAAAAAAATAAGAAACACACTAGGAAGTGCCCGAGAGGAGTGGGGGGTCAGGGAGGGCTGGTCTGAGGGGCGACAGCCGAGCTGAGACCTGGGTGAGCAGAGCGAGGATGGCATTCTTCAGTGTTTCTGGGAGGTGCTCTCAGCTGAGAGGACTGCAGAGCAGGGGCACAGGCCCTGGGGCGGGAACAAACTTGGCCCGTGGTCAGTACCAGGTGTCTGAGGGACAGGGTGGTGGAGGAAAGTGAGATCAGAAGGTCAGGCCGGGGCTAGAGCACGTCTCGAAGTTCGGATTCTCTCCTCTGCAGTGGGAGCTCGGGAGGGTGAGCTTGAAGCAGGGCTGTGACGGGCCTCAGTCTGCATCTCAGAAAGTGCACTCGGCTGGACTCTCCGGGGTCACCAGGGGGAGGCTGGTGGGAGACTGATGGCCTGGACACGGGTGGAGAAGTGGTGACAACAGGGGAGGAGGGACCGATGTAGGGTCTGTTTTGGAGACAGCATTGCCAGGTCTCAATGGCATGTGCAGAGTGAGGGAAAGAGATGTTTTGGACCCAAGTTATGGAGCGGCTGTGGGCATCGTTCCTGAGGTGGAGAAGGCCTGGAGGCGGAGGAGGGAGCAGACTGTTGGTGGGGGGGGCATCGGTGTCAGGGAGAAATGCCAGCTCCCCTTGGGGAACAAGACACGGCACCCCTGCTCTCCCAGGCCTGCGTCCCCTCGTCTGCCTGGCAAGATGCCCTGCAAGGCCATCCAATCCGGGGCTGCTCCAAAAGCGACTGCTCTCCTGTTTGGTTAATGTCCGTGTTCCATATTCATTTTCCTCTGGTGTATCAATTAGTATTTACATACATGAAAATTAATTTTGTTATTTCCCATCCATGTTTCCACCCTCCTCAGCTCCTTTCCTATTCATCACTGCTGATATTTGCAAAACGTCCAAAATGAGTGTCATCTGCAGATTAGCAAGTAACACATCCCCTTTCAAAACACGAACAGGCTGGACCGTATCCACCAAGCCCGACAAAGGATCGGACAAAGCCCCAGGAAAAAGCCAAAGGATCAGAGAAGACAGAGTCAGAAATCACAGGCTTCAGACGTGCAGAGGGGGCTTGGCCAAGAGGTTCTTCTGCCTCCCTACCAAGTAAAGAGCAGTGAAATTACACTTTTCTTGCAGCAAAGAAGTCTCTGAGCTCTGCTCCCAGGCAGAGCTCCCAAAAGCATTGAAATCACATTTCTGAGAAAGGTCAGAAGCTGGCTCAGTGGGAAAGACATTTACACACAGCATCTTTAGGGAAATCACCAGATGAAGGGGACAGTGGCCGCTTCTGGCCAGCCAGCTGGCCCTCCTTCTTTCTCCTCCCTACTGCACCCTGACCTCCTCTACAGCGCTGTGTGGTGGCTGACCTCACCACTGGCTGCAGGGATGGCCCCGAGCCAGGCCTGGCCAGCGTGCATTTCCCATCTCACACCTCCCTCTACCTCAGTTCTGGTGAGCCACGGTGATTGGTTTAAGGACGCTTGGGCATGTGATCCAAGCCAGGCCAAGGAGCCGTAATTCTGGGATGATTACTGAACTTAGGAAGAAACAGTTCTCTTTTTCTTGTGATTGCCAGGCAGAAGGTGAGCATGCACGCAGTGTGTGTAGGAGCTCCCGCGTGGACAGAGTCAAGCAGAGTCTAAATGAGAAGGGAAGGAGGGAGCGGCTCAGGGCGGGGCGGTGAAGGGAGGTGCTGCGTCTGGAGGACGCCATCTGCACACCTGGGGCCAGCTGTGCAGGAACTAGCTACCCATGACCTCTGTAGTCGCAAAGCCAGTAAATTCCCATTTTTGTTTAACTCGGTTTGGATTCAGTTTCCATTGTCTATCAAGAAGAAGGGGGAGGAGGAGGACGAGGTGGAGAAAGAGAGGAAGAAGAAGGATCCTGACCACTCAGGGGAGCAGAGGTGAGCTCACAGCTCTGCAGGGACGCTGACTTCTCAGAGAGGCTGCGGCTGTGAGGCGGCTGCTCAGCAAGAGCGCTAATGCGGTGTGTTCAGTGCTGAGGACAAGGACTTTGAGTTTAGGTGCCCGGTTGCAATCTTGGCCTTAGCACCAGCTGCATGACCCTAGGAAGCTGACTTGATCTCTCTGAGCCTCAGTTTACTAATCTAATCTAGAAAATGGAGAGAATGAGAGCTGTCAGTGTTCTTTGAGATAGGGAGGGGGAAGGCCGAGCACAGTGGCTGGAAAGGCCTTGGAGCCAAGCCTGAGACCAGGCCCTGCCTACACGAGCTTGGTTGTTTAAACCACTCTGTTGTCCTACGATAACTGAGAGTGTCCTGGAATGTAAGGGTCGAGAGGACTCCAAGTAAGGCACCTTCCTCTTTTCTAAGAGGTAACTTGGCCCTTGTGGCTGAGGGCTGGAGAGATGACTGCTCACTGGACGCACTGCAGGAGACCTCCAGTGGGCATGGGCTGCAGCAGGGTCCTGAGAAGGGGGTGGGGGGATGCTGTGGGACACTGCACGGTCCACCTGCCACCCCCAGGACGGAAGCACTCGTGCCTCTAGTGGCTGGGAGTGCTGACTACTGACAACTTACAGCTGAGTCTCCCCGCACTTATCAGTGCCCGTGGCCTTGCCCTTCCCCAGGGGCAGTCCATATCCAGTGACACGTTGTTCTAGGCGTATAAAAGCCTTGTCCCCCACTCAACTCAGGACAACTCCAAGGGGCTGTCACAGCTCCAGAGCTCCCTGATGTGAGTGCACTGTGGCCCACCTTCTCCCTCTGCACAGTCCTGCTTCCTGTCGTCCCCCAGAACCTGCCTCAGTAAACTCTGTCTTGGAGTCTACTTCCCGGGAACCCAATCAGCTGTCAGCAGACTGGGCAGAGAGGAAGGGAAGAGCTGGCAGGTGGGCTCAGGAGATGCCTGTGGGGAGGAGGACAGGCTGAACAGAGATGGTCTGGCTTCCTTCTGGAGATGACGGTGGGGAGGCAGGGAGGGGGGCACTGCACTGGCACAGCACGCCTCCTGCTGTCAGGAGATAACTGGGAGGAATGGCAGCTACAGGGGCAGGAAAGAGCAGGAGGCAAGGCTACAAGGAGCAAGTGAGCCAGAGAGCCGTGTGAACAGGGAACGGGAGGGAGATCACAGTCAGCTGCCACCTCTGGCGTGGAGATCCCCAGGATGCAGGCAGAGGGGCTGGCCTGTGCACACAGCCAGAGAGGAGGGGCTGCAACCTCAGATGGGAAAAGACGAGAGAACACAGTGAAATGCAGGCGGCAGCCAGCTGGCTGAATACACAATGTGTTTTGTTTGGCTCATGAGGTGTTTAAAAATATTATAAAATTAGTCACCAATATTTAAAAAGCTGAAGATTTCACATAAAAATCCAAATTTCCGACTTCTCAGAAGACCTGGCACCTGCCCCACCTGGGCAGGTACAACGCAGGTTTTCTTTGTCCATGTGCTGGTTTCAGCCCCCACTCACCCTCGGCCTACGTCTCTGTGCAGTGGACAAGCTGTCCAACTGTCCAAGGAGACCCTGTCCCGAGTGACCAGGACTTCCTCCGACCCTTGACAGTCCTGCTTCCACCTGACACCGCCCCAGGACAGGGTACTCACAGATCCCATGGTAGACGCCCGGTTCTGGAGTGGTGGCTTCTGGGACAGGGGTACTGGGCGGCATCTCTAGTTCCGGGACCTGCACACCAGTTAGGGGAGAAGCAGAGGAAAGGGCGTGATCTGAGTGATACCCACAAAGCTGGCTACCCATTTCTCCAGCTGCTGCTGCCCACCTCATGCCCCAGGTAGGTCCCTGGGTCCTTTCTTGTGTTTTCTGTCCTTGCAGAAGCTCTGCGACTAGTAATAGGGACAGGCCCAGAAACCCTTGCGTGTCCGAGTCCTTGACAGAAGCCCTTACTGGTAGAGGAGTGTGACACTACCAGCTCAGGTGAGATTTTCTGGGACAGGGAAGGATGTCATAAATGTCCATCTAGTCAGCTAGAAGAAGGGGGCAAGGAAGGAAGGAAAATAGGAAGGAAAGAAGGAAGGAGGAGGAACTAAAGCTACAGAGAGTGGTCCTCAACTCTGGGGCCCAGGTGCGTGCATTTTTAAAGCTCCCAGGTTATTCACATGTGTGGCAGGATAAAGAACCCGTGGTCTGTAGGCAGCCCCAGTGGGTCACCACCCCCTTCTTCCCGGGTCCCATGCGTAAACTCTGCTATTAGATTTCTGCACCATAAGTTGGGGTAAAAGTGCCGTCACTGCGTTACAGACAGGAAGGCTCAGGGGCAAAAGGAAGTGAAGTCGGGGTCTCAGAGTTTGGTGAGGGTGGTTTAGGTCCGATGACAGCCGCGGAAGTCCATGGCTCGGCCCCGGGAACGACCTCTCTGAACCCTGTCCCCTACGGGGCGGAGGGTGAGGAGGCGGCCTGACACAAGGGCCCCTGACACGGGGCAGACTGAAGCACCAGGGAATGTTGCTGCCTTAGTGCCCACGTGACTTCCCTTGCCCTCCCTGAGCCTCCCACCCTCCAAGGATGTGAGCACCCCCAGAAGGGTGGGGTGCAGCCTGCCTCTCTCTAGGGCTGTGAGCCTGATGTTGACACTGCTGCCCCCATGAGCTCAGGTTCCCCTCCCAGATGAGAGCGGTCCCTCCCTGCCCCTTCTGGGGCTGGATCTTGTCAGAGTCCCTTAGAGGCGACCACACTATTCGGAAAGCCTCATGGTCAACTTCCAGCTGGAGACGCACAGATCAAGTCCAGACAACAGACATGTTCAGTGGCCCACGGAAGGTTTGAAAACATTTTGAGTTAGTTGCTAATGAGTTTTAATTGGGATATTTTTGCATAAAAATCCAGCTATCTGGCTTCATTTGAAAAAATCAGAAAAACTGTCAACATGGGCCAGCAGCTCTTGTCTGGGTGGAGTGGCAGCTGCTTTCTTGAGAAGCGGGAGGGCGTCACCCCAGCGAACGGCCCTTTGGCCGCACTGCGTCGGCCATGACCTTCCCGAGGCTGAACCTTCTCTGTCCTCTGGCTTCTAGCCATCCCCCTCCGCCCTCCACCCTGTCTCCTCAGGGGCTCAAGAACGTCCTGGAGACCGGGGGTCTCTTCACCTTCACTACTGCTCTTTGACTTGGACTGACTCTAGCCCTGAAGATCCTGTTTCATTAAACAACAACAACAACAACAACAACAACAACAGCTACGTTTAGCAGTTAAAAGCACAGGCTTTGGAATCCTGCATTCGAGCTCACACCTTGCTACTCCCCCACTGCGTGCCCTCGGGCAAGTCACTTAGCCTGTCTGGAGCTCAGTTCCCTGAAGGGGGCGGGGGGTGCTGACCGTCTCCGCTCCCCAGGTTGTCAGGGGGGACGCACAGGGCAGGTCACAGTTCGCAAGCACGAAATGATCGCTGGGACTGTCATTGTTTTTATTCTAATTCTACCTATTAAAGCCATGTCCAGTCCTCCCATCAAAAACAACAGCGAGAGATCAAAACACAGCCCAAAGCAAAATTCTCCCGAAGACTGCCACCTCTAAATTACAGGGACAGCATAGAATGGATTTCTCCTAGTTTTGATTAAAATTTGAACACTTTCTCCACTCCGGTGAAATATATAAATAAATAAATAAATAAATACAATGAAAATTGCTAGAGAATGAAGCACGGCACACAGGACCAACTCTGAAGGGGGGAAATGCGGACATCAAAACAGCTGCCCTGCAGCAAAAGGACATCCGTCTTCATTCCCCCTGCTCTGCTCTAAGTTGGGAGAAATCTCTCGAGGTCACCCCGCCCCTCCACCTCACCCCACCGCCCCGGACCTACCTGGCTCTCAGCCCACAGGCCGGCCTGGGTGTACGGCCTCTCCCCGCCATCACCATCGGCGGTGCTGGGCCTCCTCAGAGCCTCCTCACACTGCAGGCTGCAGAGGCTCTCCACATCCACGTCAAACGTCTCATCCGAACAGGACACGGCCTCGAGGATGTCATCGTCCGTTGTGAACAGTATGGTGTCTCCGAAGTGCTCTGGGGCTGGGCGGGTTACCAGGAAAGCAAGGGTCAGCCCACCCCTCAGGCCAGTGATTTGTAGATCATCCTCTGTGCTATAGACCCACCAACATTTCTCCGTTTGTGTAGAGATGAGTTATTCTTCACATTTTGGCAAATGGAGCTCACGTGCCGTAAGAAGCACAGAGGTCTAAGAAAGGGACCTGGTCCAATGAGAATCACTGTGATGGGTGTGAAGCAAAGCCAGGGTGGGCCCGGAGGCAGCTGCTGCTGGCACCCCACCCAGGCCCCTGCTGATCCCTGCAGGGAGGGGCTGCAGTCTTGTCTGAAAGGACGAGAAAGTTGTGCCCCCTGTGAGGGAAGCTGTGGGGTTCCAGATCCCTGCCACTCTGACTCAAGGCAGCACAGATCCTACAAGCTGTGCTCCAGAGCTCCCCTGGGTCAGGCTAAGGCCGGCTTGCCCTGAAAATACACCCTTGCTCAGCCCCTCCCCTCCCTGCCCCCCCCCGCCCCCCCGCCCCGCCCCGCCTGTGGGTTCTCCTGAGAGCGCTCCCTGAGTCAGTGCCTTGCAGAAGAACCCACGCTGCAGAGGCGAGGAGTGGGCCAGGTCTGTGGAAGAGGAGAGACCTGTCACTGGTTAGCCAGTGGGTTTAGCTTTTCCTCAGTGCCTTGGCGACTAGCAGGTAGGGGCTTCAGGAACATTCTCAGAGACACACCGTACCTCCCGACAGGGTTCCAGAGGCCTTGGCAATTTCTCCTTTGAAGATGCACTGTGTGTCCAAGAGGATCTCGATGTCCTTCACGCCGCGGAAGGAATGGATCCGTGACTTGTTGTAATTCCAAACCCTGATCAGGGCGATGTGGCAAGGCTGCGTGAAGTCGACGGTGATGAAGTGGGACTTGCCGGGCGTGAAGGGGGCCAGCCAGACGTGCATGTCGTCCTGGGTCCTGTTCACCCCGTCGGTGAGGTTGGTGACCACACGGGGGTCCTTCCCATAAGCTGGTAAAATATTGATGTCAGGGGGGTCTGCTTGGATGCTCGCAATCTGCACGGGCTCTCCCTTGGAACTGAATATTTCTATCCCGTTCAGGCCGACGTAGTGCCTGTCCCCCCACGTAGACTTGATGTCAATGACCAAGTGCTGGCCGTAAGGCAGGACGGGGATTTTGAAGTCGCTCTCCTGGTCTGTGTCTAGGGGGCAGTCGTCCTGCCCGGGCCCGGGCCCCGGCTCCTCCTCCTCCTCGCGGGGTGGTAGCTGGCTGCCCTGCCGGCTGCTCTTCTGCTGCTGCAGGAACTCATCCAGGATGTCCCCCTGGAACTCTGAGCTAGAGATGCGTCCCCGGTGGGAGCGGTCGAAGGCACTGAGGGAGTTCCAGGACTCGTGTAGCGTGTGTTCCTGCTCGCTGCGCCACAGGGACCTCGGCGGTGTCCCCATGGGCCAGGCGTCTGCAGGAAGAAAGGGCACAGGAGGGGTAAGCCCCATCAGTGACACATGTGGAAGTGAGGACCCTTAGAGCGTCTCATTCAGTGGCTGTCAGCTTGGGGGAGTTACCCTCAGGAGGACATTCTAGAAACCGGTGAGGGTGCTCCTGGCTGCCTCAATGCCCGCCATCCCTGCCGGCACTTGGCGGGTGGGGCGAGGGAGGCAGGGCCCTGCCGTGCACGGTACGGGTGCAGAGCCCGGCCTCTGGTCTCACACAGCCTCAAAAGGCGAGCAAGAAACTGTTGGGAGACACCCAGGTCTGGAACCTAGTTGTTTTGCAAAGAGAAAGGTATTTTTCAATGTATACTGACTGCTCTAAGCATGCAAGCTTATGCAAATCAAGGAGGCCCATTTGGCTGCGTCAGAGCCTCTGCCAGAAGTCCTCCCCGCTCCAGACTCGAGCCCCAGCGAGGCTGCTGCCTGCGGCCTCGGAGTCAGCAGCCCGGGGGCCACCCCTAACGCTGCCACAGTCACTCGACTTGAACAGAGGTTTCAAAGCCTGCCTGGTGACCGGCGAAAGGCTCAGAAAAGAAGGTGCAATGAGAAAAAGCCAGCTATGCCATTTCAGATGCGGCCTATCCTAGTGTGGCAGCACAGACCAGCGTGTTAATTTGATCTTTCTGGGTAGTAATTAGGAAAGGCTTTTATTTTCTTTTTTGTCACCATATCCTCTAAATTCCCTACAAGTATTAATTTTATAATCAGAAAAATGCTTTAAAAAAGCGAACCACCCAGGTGTGCCACCAGGTAAGGAACTTACTTCCACACACGCACGGCCCAACGGGCTCCCAGAGCTGACGCTGTGCCCCAAGCACCTGGGGCACAGGGGCCCGGCCCCCGGAGGGGGCTCCTGCAGGCCCCGCTCCCCGCTCAGAGAACATGGAAGCTCCGCACGCATCGAGCAGCGGCCTGTCCTCACAGCCGCACCACAGCTACCCACCATCCCAGGGCGTCACTTGGGAACACAGCAGCCGACGACACTGACATTTGGGTTTTTCTCCTTTCCTATCACACCGGGCCCTGCACTCCATTTTCTGCCTGTCTCCCAGGGAGCCTGGCTCCATCAATTACCTCTTCTCCCCAGAACTCCCATCACTCCTTCCCCACTGGCACCTTCCCCTCTAACTGCAGACACACATAAATCTCTCCTACCTGAAAGGAGGAGGAAGTTGGCCTGACCTTGTAGCTCTCCCTCTCCCTGCAGCGGCTGCGTCCTCTCCCCACCACCGTCCCTCAGCCCCCGCGCCCCGAGTCCTCTGTGTCCAGTCACTGTCCTGCCCACTCACACTCCCCTTCCCCTTCTTCTGGGAGCAACACCCGATTTTCTTGGGGATCAGGCCATTCAGATTAGGCAAATGTTGACAGCATCCTTCCCAGCTGGGCTTGTGAAAGGAACCAAGGGCAAGAGGGGCTCTCTCTACACTGGGGCTGCTGAGCTGGGGGGCGGGTGGGGGGCGGTGTCGGTGGGGCTGCCTGCGGCCACGTTGCTGCTCTGTGGGAGGAGCCTGCCCGGGATGGTAGCCCACCTGGAGAATAGGAGGCGAGAGACGGACGGACTCCTGCAGACATCATCTGAGCTGTGTCAGATGTCACATGCCAAGTGGCTTTCTGTCCCTTCATCCATGAATCCTCAGATTCCCACAGCCCTCCATTGAAATGGCTTCCCCAGGTTCACAGACTCCAAGTGCACAGTCTTTGCTCAGTTCTCAATTCAGGCTTGACATCCTAAGCCAGGCTCCTCCTCCGGCTCAGGGGAATTGTACTTCTGGCCCTCTACTTCCTCGCAACAGCTCCTCCCTCTGCGTCACACCCTAAGTCCGGTTGCCGAGGCCTCAGCTCCGTCCTGCCTCCCCCAACACCACCATCTCAAACGCCCTCACCCAGCTCCTGGTTCCCACGCAGGCTCTGCTCAGTGTTATAACTCAAGTTCTGCCTGCTCTCCCCCGGGCACCCCCTTCCAGCCCCAACAAGCCCCTGGTGGTCCAGACACGTCCACTTCAAATTCCATGTGCCTACAATGGGGTTGTCACCCTCCCCTCTAAGTGGCATCGTCTCTACTACGCTGAGAACAAGGAAAACCAAAGAAAATCTCACACCTCACCATGACCCCAGGGCCCGAGTCAGCCCTGCTAACTTACCCAACCTCATCCCACAAGTTCCTCCCCACGGCATCCTGCTGCAGCCACGCTGGCCTTTCTGTCCCGTAGATGCACCGGGTCTCTCTCATCTCGGAGCCTTTGTCCTTGCTGTGCCCTCTGCCCTTGCTGTGCCCTCATTTCTATGGAAATGCTCTTTCCTTACGTCTCCAGGGTGCTGGCTCTTCGTGCCACCTTCCTCCATGGAGAGGCCTGCTCCGCCCCATTCCCTGCTGTGTCTCAGCGCCTGACACAGAACACGGCCCAAGGAAGCGCCCAGTGTTGCCAGTAAAGGGAGGGGCAGCTGGCATTGCCATCACTCCTCCAAGTTCAGGATTGGAGGCTGAGGGACGCCCCCTCCCCCTCAGTTCTGCTGCCCCTGTCATCAACCCTCCTTCTCCTCTGCCATTAAAAAGACCCTAGGAGTTTCTTCCATCTTTCCTCCAGGCATGAGGCTCAACATCTGGCAGAAGGGACTTCCCATATGGACCATCAATACTCCGGCTTACTGTGATCTGACTTCCACAGACTGAAATGAATGGCCGGGCCAGTCTGCAAGAGCACTGAGGAGACAGCACCAAACATCACGTTCAGGGACACAGCCTGCGCTTCTCTGCCTGGGTTTAAAGAAAGGCAGGGCTTTGCTTTCATGCCACATCGTTCTCTGACCTCTTCTTCCAGGATGTACAGTCTGGCTTTTAAAAGCAGGGAGATAGACTTTCTCCAAGGCCCCTCAGAGGTGACAGCAGGCTGGGGGCCCGCATTTCCCGCCGTCTGCAGGAAAACACACTCCCCGCTGGCCCCCACCACTACTAGTAGACACACTACTCGCAGTCGGGGAGCTGCTGGGGTCAGTGCTTTGTCCTTTGTCAATATCCCTACCTGTAAATCTGAATGGACAACAGAAAGCTGCAGATTCAGTCTGCAGTCAACACAGGCTGGGAGGGACCAGTGATATGAGATTAAAGATGTAAAACTATTCCTCAGTTGAGACTAGTATGAATTACAGAGTTCTGCACTGAGTTTATAAAAATCAATGGTGCCCTGGCCGGTGTGGCTCAGTGGATTGAGCACCAGCCTGAAAACCAAAGGGTTGACAGTTCAATTCCTACTCAGCGCTCATGCCTGGGTTGCAGGCCAGGTCCCCAATAGGGGGCACACAGGAAGCAACCACACATTAATGTTTCTCTCCTCTTTCTCCTTCCCTTCCTTTCTAAAAATAAGTAATTTTTTTACATTTAAAAAAATCAACGGCACTACCACGAGGTGCACGCTAATTGCTACTAAAGCAGGAAATGAAAAAGTACACAGTGAGATGTAACAGAATCATGTTTATTTTCAGTGTACTGCCCTTCAGTCATAGCTGACTAAACAAGGAGTGGGCACCTGACCTGAGTTGGCCAATCAGCTTCTCCCCTGAGACTTCGGAATTGGCTGCTGGCAACAGAGCCAGAAAATTGTGCCACTCTAGGGCTGCAAGGCCATTTGCCGCTGTGTGCATAAAGGCAGAGAAAGCTGATCCCATGCAGAAGAATGTGGGAAAGTGGGCCTGCGGAGAGGCAGAGGCGGGACCCCACAGCCCTGGCGACACAGGGGAAGCTTCCCCAGTGCTGGCCAGCTCTCTGGTTCCTCCCTCCAGGCCCAGGTGATGAACCGCCACCTGGCCTGCCTGTGGGGGTCTAGGAGCTCCTCAGGCACTCTCCAGACAACACCCCTTTGCTGCTCAGACTGGGTTGATGAAATTTCATTCACCTGTAGCCAACCAACTCCTGATAAAGACACTTCCAAAATGCACATGTCGTTACAACGAGATGTTTTGTCGGACGAAACAAATTCCAGGCTCTGTCTTATGGGGGCAACACAATTCAGCCCCAGGGAGGAATACGGCCGTCATTCATTCCACCAGCATCGACAAGGGCCCAGCCTGCCCCTTTCCTGCAGATCACAGCTATGGGGTTTGGCTCTATGGAACAGGTATGTGAAAATTTCGAAGCAACTTTCCTTTTCAGCATGATTGGCCTAACAAGCATTAAATCTTATGGGCTTAGTTCTTAACGTGTCATCAAGCCAAGCAGTGAAATGCTTGGAAAGAAGTTGGTTGGGTTAGAATAATGCCCACCACCTCAGAACTCCGAGTCCCTGTGGGTCTGTCTGCCAGGACAGCCTGGGACTGCATGCTCCTTGGGGTGCTGACGAGAGCTGTGGAAACGGCCTGCCATGGGGCAGTGATCTGAAGTATGGATTCTGGAGCAGGATCACCGGGCTCAAATTCTGCTCCAACCCTTACTGGCTGTGTGACCCAGAGAAAGCTACTGAAGCCTCACATTTTCTTTATGTGTCAGAGGGGGCTGGTGTGAGGAGTAAACAGGCTGGTTTGAGTGCGGTGCCTGGGTGAGAGCCGGCCCCCTGCAGCAAGCCCAAGAGCCTGCCGCTGCGGGCCTTCTCCCCCCACCCCTCCACACTTGGAGGACCCACCCGGAGCCAGGCACCTGCTCCTGGGGGTCCCACCCCAGACGAGACGCAGTCTGCCCTCACAGAGCTTCTCAGTTCTTCTCTCCCACTCTGTGCCCCCACCCTCCCCCGGCCCGGCACCCAGCCGCAGGATTACAGCACGGTGGGGCCGGCAAGGCCAGGGAGCCAGCAGGGGCAGCTCTGCCCCAAATAAGCCTGCGGCTCATCCAAGGGAGATGCTCAGGTCTTACTGTAGGAGTGTGCAGCCAGAGGGTCCCCAAAAGAAGGATTTGTAATGGGGTTCAGAACTCAAGGTGTCCAGGAAATATTAGAAAGATATATGGGATGTCTTCACCCTCCACCACAGGTGTGAGTTGGGGGAAGGGACACATGGAGCAGGGCCATTGAGAGCTGTTTTGCATAGCAACTAACCTTTGCAGCTAACCTCTGGTGTGGTCATTTAACACATCTATAACCTTTAACTCGTTGCACAGATATGTTAAATAGCTGTGGCCATGCTCTGAGACAGAGATGGAAGGAACTTCCCTCCAAGCTGTAACTGGGAGGCAACTCCCCCTACTTACAGAGCCTGCGTGAGACCTTGAAGATGATTGGCTCCATGACTTGGGGCCACCCCTGCGCAGACTCATGATGGAGCCCAGTACAGCTGGAAGGATATTTAAACCCAGACTTGGTGGCCATTGAAGGGAGAACCATGCGGTTTTGGCTGAGTGGAGACTCCTGCAGCCATGTAAGAAGGACCACGCACTTTTGGCACAGGGGGACCCCCACCCCCGCAGCCATAAGAAGAATCACCATGCGGCTTTAGCTGGAGATCCCAGCAACACAGCCAGTGGTGCTAAGAACTGAGGAAGGCCTGCCAGCTGAGCACAGATTACTGGGAAGAACTGTGGGCTGCCTGAGCCACGGACTTCTATTTCTTTCCCTGAGATACGAAACCCCAGACTGGGCAAAGAGGGGAAGGAAGGACTGTGTGTGTTTGTGGGTGTTTTAAGGAATGTTGGGATTTTGACGAAGACATTAAGTCATTACTTTTAGTCTGTATAACTTAAATAAATAACTCCCTTTCTTTTCACCAATCTCTCACATGGAGAGCTATAATTCTCTGGCAGAGGAAAAGGTGAACCTAGTACAGGGTGACCCCAGGAGAAACGGGGGTCAATTCGGTAGCATTGTGGGACCCTCTTCCCTGGTGGCCAATCGGGGAGGATCATGGGAAACCACATGTGCAGTAGCTTTAAAGTAATGCACCTACTTATACATTACTCACTAAAAGCCCACTAAAACTAGCCAGGAAGGATCTGCCCTATAAGAAGAGAGTCCCTCCAGCCCATGAGGTCAATCTCTGCTTGGAGTTGGCCTGCTCCCATGTCCTCTACTATAAACTCGGGGTGTTCGGTTCAATTCTTTGTCCCGATCACCAAGAACCTGGTTACCTGTGCCCACCTGTGGCATTACGGACTTGCTCTGGTGTCCTAAGCGACATACCAGGGGCCCGGAAGAGGCCTAAAACTGTTCACCTTTCTGAGTGCAGACTTGGGCTGAGTGCAGACCTTCGGGCCGGTCTACTAAACAGTAACAGAGTGGAGGCTGGTGTGACTCGCTGAAAAGCATGTGCAGCTGACCCTTCAATTACACCAGTGGGAACTGCTTGGGTTTACTTACATGGGATATTTTCCAGTAAATACATACAGTACTATAAATGTATTTTCTGTTCCTTATGATTGTCTTAATAACGTTTTCTCTTCTCTAGTTTATGTGATTGTCAGAACACCTACACAACACATAAAAATACGTGTGCATCAACTGCCTGTCATTGGTAGAGCCTCCAGCCGACAGCGGGCTCTTATCAGTTGCGTTTTGGGAGAGTCAAAAGTTAGGCGTGGATTTTCAGCTACACGAGGGGTCTCGCCTGTGACCCCGAGTTGTCCAAGGGCCCACTGTACACTGGTTTCACCTCCAGGCGCACCGAGAGGGAGTCACGAGCGGGGCAGCGATGTTGGTGATGGTAAGCAGCGGCAGCCGACGTCTGCGGGTGCTCCCGTGTGCCCAGCACTGTGCCAAGCACTGCACGTGCGCGGTCTCAGCCAGTTCTCCCGGTGCCCTTGACGCAGGTATCACTGGCATTTTACAGACAAGGACACTGAGGCTCAGAACGGTTTTGGGCTCACCCATGGTGTGGGTTGGCGGCGAGGGGTCAGGAAACACGCCCCAGCGGTTTGACCGCCGGGCTCCTGTGTGATAGGAGGTCCAGTTAAACTCAGAGGATCTATGGGTGAGCCCTGCCTTGGTCGGTTCAAGTGCTTTGTGGACAGTGAAGGATGGACACATCAATGTTGAAAAGCGGTCAGCACTTGTGGGGCACTTGGCACGCACCAGACCCTGGTTACTATTTCGAAGCCATCCTCTCCCTGTCCCTCACGACACTGAGAAGGAGGGGCAGAAAAGGGCTGTTCATCCCATTTTACAGACAAAGATGCTGAGGCTCAGAAGGTGGGAGTGCTCGGCTCCCTAAGCAGCAAAGTTTGGGTCAAATGCTTTGACTCCCAGTTGCTAAGCTACACTCATCGCTGGTGGACAAATCTGAGTGGAAATATTCAGGAATCCCACCTTCACTCCCTTCCTTTCAGGTTCCTTAGAGAGCGTCTGCTGCAAAGTTCACAGAGCAGCCAAGTCCTGCCACGTGTTTTTTCTTTTTTGACACACACACTGGTTTTAAGATATAATCTTGATGAGTCACCATTGCTAAAAATAAGAATATTCTACATTTCTGATTTCTCTTAATTAAAAGGAAAAGGGAGATCTGGCACACTGGCCTTGCATCCCTGATACCAAAAAGCAGCCTGAGTGAAGCGGCACTGCCCCCTGGAGTTGGGCTCATGCTCTCCGGTTAGCCACAGTCCTCACCGCTCCCTATAGCACTTCCAAACCCAGGCAAGTGTCAACTTCTATCTATCATCATACTTGTGTTATTTTTCTAACAGTTCAGTTAAGAGTAAAGTGAAGTAATTAGAGACCAATGTCTCTATCAGAGGTGGAATAACCCGGTCTAGGTTGGAAAAGCCATATACTGAGAGAAAAAGTGAGCAAAGGGACATCATATCTTGGTGGCAATGACAAATATATCTGAGTTTAACATGCAAAGAATGTCTTGCCCATTTCACTCACTGCTGCCAGCTGAGACAGTAAGTTTGTAACCCCTGGCTGATGAGGAAACCAAGGTCTGGGGAGCAAAGAGGCTTGGTGCCAGCCCACAGCCCCCACAGGGACAGTGGAAGCCAGTCAGACTTCCTCTCGAGCTTACCTCTGTCATCGCCGCGCCCACTGCCCAGGGCGTCCTTCTTCAGGCCCCTCCTCCCACTCGCAGGACGCCCCCTGTTGGAGAGCTGGTCAAAGATGTCAAAGTCATCGCTGCAGACTTTGGGGGCCACCCTCTGGGCTCTCTCTCCCGAGATGACATTCCGGCCGCTGGCCCTCCCGTGCTCACGCCTGAGGCCTTTGTCCCCGGCCTCTCCAGACCCCCCACTGAGGAGCTCCTCGGGCAGAAGCCTGTCTTTCCAGTCCAGGGGCTTCTCAGGACTCAGCCAGAGGGGTTTTGGCTTCCTGGCTTTCCCCGTGGGAGAGGGCTGTAGCCAGGACGGGGTCTTCCCTGGAGGTTCAGAGACTTTTCTGCCTGTGAGGTTTTCCAGCTGCTGAATCAGTGAGAGCCCCTGGCCGAGAGGAGGGCAGTCCAGGGGCTGGCTGTGGGGTGCACTGGGCACACCCCCGATCAAGGCCGGGGCCGCTGACACGCCGGAGTCGTCCTCTAACGCGGACACGCTGTCTTCCCTGTGATCAGGGGAATTCACCCTCTCACCAGGTGCATTTCCTGGGGGCGCAACTCCCGCACCCACGGCTGCGCCAGCGGGCTCCAAGTGCACGGCACCGGGCTCCTGGTCCCCGCCCGTGCCAGCCCTCCTGCGGGCACCTGTGCTTTCTTCCGACCGGGCGCTCGGGTGGCTCTCCATTCTCTCAGTCCTCTCGTTCTCCGGGCTGACCAGTATGCTCTGGTCGGCCGGGGCCTCCCCACCTCCTCTGTCCAACTGGCCATCAAAGATGAGGTTTCTGTTGACATAAAGCTTCACGTTCTTGGCACCAATGTCAAGGTCCTAAAAACATAAAATGTAACAAAACGAAGATGCGTGGCATCAGACTGATGTATCAAATTGTAAAAGTAGAAGATAAAAAAGAAATGTGAAATGCTGGAAACAGGTGCTTTAGGAACCCACAGCGCCGGGAATATTAAATAAGGCTCAGTGCCATGTCTGTGTGAAGCCTGCATACTCTATAAATCAAAGGACTTCCACAAAGAGGTGGCCTCACTGGTCTTTGTCACCATTGCCTCCTGCTGGGACATTTGTAATCGCCTGTTAATTGGTCTCCCTGCTTCCTGCCTCTTGCTGCTTCAACCTCAACTTCACATTGCCATCAGAGGTAACTGTTCCACCAGCGCAGATCTGACCCCGCCACTCCCCCTTGTGAAATCCTGGGTTTTTTCCGCTGCCTACAGAGCTTTCATTAAAGGATGTTTCCTGGGCCCTCCACATCAGAAAGCTCGACAGGCACATGAAATGCAGGCTCCCTGGTTCAATGGGTATCACGTTTTCAGTGTCCTGAAAGCAGAGGACTCAGGGACAAGGACCTGAGTGCAGGTAGCTTATTCGGAAAGGTGCTCCCTTACCAAAGTGCCAGAGAGTCAGACGGGGTAGAGAAACCCCCCCACCAAAGGCTTTCCAGCTGGTCACTGCTGTGGGCAACTGGGGCTCCCTCCCACTGAGGCCGTCTTTCAGAGGAACCCATAGAATGTACCTCAGGGTGTCCCTCCAGAGGCGGGAGTCTGGGACACCTCCCTGCCGACTCCCTTCCCTGTGGGCTGCAGGCTGCCCCGGGCGGGCGCTGCGGCTGTAGGGCCAGCCCGCAGCAGGGAAGCACTGAGGGCGGCCCCGCTGCTGCCCCCTCAGCGGTGCCGGGAAGCCCGGGGGTGTGGTGCGGCACTGCATTTGAACAGGTCATCCGGATGACTCCTTTGCACACAGAATGTGGAGAACCTCAAGCCAATGGGATGAATTCTGAACCCCTCAGCACCACACGACAAAGGGGTCCCCAGCCAGCCTCCCTGTCTCTTTCTCCCCGACGCCATGCCATGTGGGTGTTCAACACTGCTTTGTTCGTGCTGAAACTGAACCACACCTCCTGCTACTGCCCGCTCCCTGTCCGTTCCTCTTTACATAAAAACACTTTTAAAAAGCAGCTTTATCGAGGATGACACATTCAGTACAGAGTACATTTTTTTAAGTGTGTGACTTGATAAGTTTAAATACAAGCATAGACCCACAAAATCATGTCTCCAATCAAGATAATGGACACATCCGCCCGAAGTTGCCTTGTACCCCTGGATAGTCCCTGCCTGCCCCTCCCACCCCCGCCCCCAGGCAACCACCCACCCACCAGCTTTCTGTCCCATAGATCAGCTTGCAATGCCTAGACTTTTTAAACAAAGGGAATCGTGCACTATGCGCTCTCGTGGCCCAGCTTCTTTCACTCAGCATAATTATTTGAAGAGTCACCCACGCTACCTGAATCGATCCTTTTATTCCTCTTTCCTGCTAAGGAGAACTCCCTGGTCGGGCGACCCCGCCGGGTGTTGGCCTTTACCACACACCCGTGAAGCGGCACTGCCACAGCACTTTTCCTTCCTCCTCTCGTGGCCGGGGCCCTGCTGCAGCCAGGCCTGTGCCTCGGCCTCTCTGTGGAACCCACCTCGCCAGGGGCGCCCGTGCCTGGGGTGCAGAACCTTCCCTGTTTGTCTGGGACAGTCCGACCCACTCCTGCGGTCCTGGTGTACTCACTCAGGGCACCCTCTTTTACTCTCAGAAGTGCCCTGGTTTGGACAGTCAATCTGAGGGTCCAGCAGGTTGCCAGGGCCACCGGGAAATTCTGTCCTGGGGCAGGGCAGCCGCCAGCAGTGTTCGCGCTGTCGGCCCCCCCTCCTTGACAGATGTCCTTCCCCAGGCCCCCAGGCTCTGCGCTGGACTGGCTCCCCCGCCGGGCCTCCTGCTCAGCGGGGCCCCGAGCGGCTGGGCCAGTCCTGGGCCTCCAGACTTCCTTCACTCTCACCACGCGGTCTCACCCAGGCCAAAAGCCCTAAATATCATCTTTGTGTTGATGACTCTTGATTATTTTAATCTCCTACCCTGACCTGTCCACTAAGCTCCCAGTGACCACAACCTCTCTTCTTTGATATCTAACAGTTATCTCAGCCTTAACATGCCCCAGACAGAATTCTTGACTCACTTTTCCCAAGCTTAGTCCTCTCACATCTTAAAAATGGTTGCATCATCATCCTTAACGGTATAGCTCAGGGGGTTGGGTGTCATCCCGCAAACTAAAAGGGTGCAGGTTCAATTACCAGTCAGGTCACGTTCCTGGGTTGTGGGCCAGGTCCCCAGCCGGGGGTATACAAGAGAGGCAACCAATAGATGTATCTCTCCCTCTCTTTCTCTCTAAAAATAGATAGATATAGATAGATAGATCAATAGATAGATGATAGATAGATAAAAATCTTTTTAAAAAATGGTTGCACCATTCAGTCAGTTGCCAGAAACCCAGGAGTCCTGCCTGATTCCTCTCGCCTTCTCACTCACGTAGCCAGGCTGCTGGAAGTCCCGCTGCCCTAACCTCGAACACCCTTCCAAACCTGACTTCTGCTCCAGGCTCTGTGCCCCGCCACTGTCATCCCTCCAAGGGACAGCAGCATGACCTCCTCCTAGTCCCTCTGCTTTTCTCTGCCCACTCTGCACTGCCATCGCCTCCCTACCCCAAGTACACGCGCTGCGTTTTCTACATAGCAGCCAGTCTTTTAAAACAGACAAACACACACAAAACTTGCCAGGTCGTGGCAGCCCCCTGCTTAAAACCCTTCAGTGATTTCATACTACACACAAATCCCACCCCCTTCAGCAGCCAATAAGGCCTACTGATCTGGCCCCTGCTGACCTCTCTGACCCTGGCCCCTGCTGACCTCTCTGACCCTGGCCCTTGCTGACCTCTCTGACCTCAGCCCCTACCACCCCTTCCCTCCTCCCTCTGCTCCCACACTGGTCTGATTGCTGTTCCTTGACCCTGCCAACTCAGCCCCATTTTGGGACCTGAGTGCTCACCTGGAACGCTCTTCCCAGACACCTGCAAAGTTGGCTCCTTCGTGTCCTCACAGAGATCTTCTTGGCCCTCTCTCCAGAGCAGCCCTCCCCATCTGCCCCGTCTCTATTCCACCATCCTGTTTTCTTTCTTTCTTGTCTCTGACGTGATCTTATCAGCTTTTAAAGTTATTTATTGTCTCTCTATTCAAAGTTAAGCTCCAAGACACTAGGGGCCCTTGTCCCATCTTGCCCCAGGGCCCAGGAGGTACCTGGCACATAGTAGGTGTTCCACAATCACTTTGGAATCATAAGTGAATAAACACAGGTATTTTTCTCCCAGGGCAGCACTGCTCCAACAATGTTCTGAGAACAACCTCATCAGAAAAATGCTCGCCTGATGCCTTCGCTCCCCGGCCACTTACCAGCTCACTCAGGCTTCTGATCTGCGCTCGGGAAATGGGCCCTGAGACCCCAGAGGTGTCCATCTGCGCTTACTCCCCCGCCATTCCTGAAGCTAGGTGAACAGCTCTACCTAAATTTCTAGCTCACCAGGTCCTTGCTACAGAGGTTTCTGTGGCAATTTAGAATGAGACCCATCGAATCTGTGCTACAGCACAGGAGTGGCTCCCATCGCCCGCGGGGGATGGTAGGCTACCAGCCGCCGACCGCCAGAGAAGTCAGTTCTCCAAGCACTCTCCTACACGTTTACATGGATGTGTGCTCTGTTGAGCAGAGGCACGGAGCGGGTGCATGACGTGAATTCATCAGGAGACAGCTGTTTGAGGAGGACAGCTCGGGCAGCTTTCAATGACAAGTCCCGCAACATTATTGCCATGGAAACATCTGGCAGGACAGAAACACGTGCACTTACAGAGGGGGTGGGGTGGAGGGGAGGCCTTCCAGTCCAGCACAGTCAGCGTGTGAGGTGGACCTCCTGGCTTTCACAGCGGGGAGTCTGGCTTCCAAAATGTGTTTGTCTACCTCTCATCAACAGTCTGGAGCACCATCTGACCTCCAGCCGTTGCTGCTTGGCTCTCCAGGGGTGTGGCTGAGAAGGGACGGAGTGGGGGAAGCAGGCTGGGGCAGGGGTGCAGCCTCCGATGCTCGCAGCGGCCAGGCAGGGAGCACGGAAATGGGCCCAGGAGGAGACCACAGGGAGTGATGTGGGGCACGGGGAGAGGGGAGGCTCGAGTCCGGCCTGACCGTGCTCGTCTCCGTGAGGTTTCCAGCACTCTGTGGGCCGAGTGAGACACGTCTGTGAGTGGGTTTGGCCCGAGGATTACAGAGTGGGGTCCCGGGAGGGGAACAAATAGGAGGCACTTCTCTGGGGATGCCAAGTGTAACAGTAAAAGGCTGTACTGTCCCACACAGTCAGTCCTCAGAACAACTCAACAGGTGGCACCAGGGCTCACCTTATAGATGGAGAAACTGAGGCTCAGCCCTCCCTGAGGTCACGCAGCTGGTTCGAGGCAAGCCACTGCAGCTGGCATGACATAGGTCTCACTGTTACCTCCCTGTGGTCAAGCTGGCCCTGGAGCCTTCTCTGCCTCGGTCCGGCCAGGGCCAGGCTCGCTAGCCACGGACAGGGTCACCTGCACCCACTGGAATTCGGAGCCCCACCTATACTTTTTAACAGCTCCCTGTGGACCAGCTGCCTCCCGCTCCCATCCAGGCTCCCTCCTTGGCCCCCAGAGGCCATGACTGTGGGCACTGCGCAGGGACACATGCCGTGTGCTTCCAGACTCCTCCCCACAGATTTAGTACATGCCGACGTAACCGTCTTCTCTCATCAAAGGTGCGGTTAGAATAAAGAGATGCACCTGTGCAGCTCGGGGAACCCAGGGGGAGGACCCCGCAGGACCACACCCCTTGGCATCCCCACAGTAGAACTCTGGGTGAGGGATGTCTTTGGAGATGGAGTTGGGGGAACTTCTCTTGCTCCTAAGGAACCAACTCACTCCCTACTTCCC